CAGCGAATTCCACTAATCTTTTCTTTCTCTTCACTTTATAATGGAACTCATTCACTTTTATGTAAGTGTAATAGACAAAAAAATTCACAGCAAAAGCAAAAATATTTTTTCTTAAATAATATTAAACAAAAGGAGAAATGACCCGTTTATTATTCTCTTTAATCTTTTTACCCTTTTTTTAATTGTATTTCGTTTATTTTTGCTTCATTTTATTTATAATACCAAACAAATCCTTACTAAAATCTTTAGGTTTTGTTTCGTATGATTTTAAGAGGGGTTTAATGTTTGTCATTTTAAATGACATAAGTTATGTCATCTTAGGAGAGAGATAGATACAAAAAAAATAAAAATGTAGGTAGTTTTTTTTTTAATTTAAAATTTAAATAAATTTTTTTTTATGTGTCTATCTCTCTTTTAAAATGACATAACTTTATGTCATCTAAAATGACAAATACTTTTTCTTTTTAAGAGTGAAAGGGAAAGAAAAAACAAAGATAAGAGTGAAGTTCGTTTTTTGTTTGATTGCACTTTATGAATATAAAAAGAAAGGGATTTTGAGGGAAATTTTCTTTATAGGGCCCATTAAATTTTTATCATTTCACTCTTGGACGTAAAAGAAGAAAAGAAAAATATCTTTTTGCGAGTCTCATCATATATTTATAGAAAAAATATTTGTTATTTTAAATGACATAAAATTATATCATTTTAAGAGAAAGATAGATATAAAATAATTTTTTTATTTAAAATTTAAATTAAAAAAATAACTCACTTTCTCTTTTTCATGATTTTCATTTTTTGTGTTTATCTTTCTCTTAAAATGACATAAGTTATGTCATTTAAAATGACAAATACCAAACCCTATATTTACATGTAATTTCTTTATTTAATGATTAAATAAGTGAAGAGATTCATTAATTTATTTTTTTATTGGACGATCCTAAATAAAAAGAGTTATAATTCTTTCCGTTACTTCTCTCCTCCTCCTTTTATGTATAACTAGGATGAAAAGAGAGAGAGAGAGGGAGAAGAAAATAATTAGTTTAAGAGAACAGAGGGAGAGATTTGAATTTTTTTTTTTTTTGGTGCGCTTAATTCACATATTTTACATCCCTCTTTATGAATATAAGGAGGATTATAAGGGAAAGTAAAACTATCAGCGAGACTCACTTTTTTTTATTAAATTCATTTTACTTAATTTAAAAGTCTTTAACGTAAATAAATTTTAGTAAACAAAGGATAGTAAAATAATTTGATATTTGTTTTCATGTACTATTACTCTTTTTCATGAAATCAAACAAATAAAGAAGAGTACAGATTCTTATTCATTAAATAATATAAAACAAAATGAGTAATAACTCTTTTCATTTTTTATAATATCTTTTATTTATGCATTACATTTTTTTTTTCTTTCCAACGTAATAATATATAGTTGCATAATACGATACAAACGTTGTTAACTAAAATTGAATTGGAATCAATTTTTTTTTATAAATTAATGAACTGATCCAGATAATTGACGTTGTCCCTTGTTTTGTTCACTACTTTTACAACATAAAAACGTCTAGGGGTGTTTGGTACCTAGATTCTTTTTGGGTTCCTTGAAAAATTAGGTATGGAAAATTAAAAGACCATGTTTGGTAGCAAAAATATTATATTTTTCTAAGAAACAATGTTACTCGGTTTTTTCAATTTATGTATAAAAAAAAAGTAGTACAGATGAAATATAAATATGTCCATCCAAAAGTTAGAATTTTGGTTTGCCCGAGAGACCAAAATATTTGTAGACAATAATAACCCTACTTTTTGGTAGCAAATGAAATCTATATTATATTTAAAAGTAAAAATAGGGTTATTTTCGTAAAATAACCTTATATTCCCACTAATATTTCGCAATCAACCAAACACACACTTAGTAAAATAAACCATAAAATTCCAGGAAAATTTGGCCATACCAAACAATATTTTAGTGACATTCCAGCAAAATATATTTCCTATTATATTCCAGTAATCTATTGTTTTTAGATAAATAAAAATTAATTTTCTACCAAACACCCCTTAAAAATTGTGCCATTGCTTTCTGATCTCAATAACAAAGGACAAATAAAAGTAAAGGCTCCCAAATGAAGTAAATAACGTCATCAAGGAGTAAGCATTGGTTTGAATTGAAGAATGTGTTATCCAAATGGAAAACAGGTTTAAGATTACACGGGCATGCCTCTGTCAAGCGCCAACTAATCCAAGCCACACTCTGCTCTCGTGCTTCCTTGTGCCTTTCTCACTTTATTCTTAAATTTTTATGCCCACCGTTTTACATTTCCTTTTCTACCTTTTATCTCAAACTAACACCTTGATTTGACTTCTTACCAACAGACAAATTCAATAAATGAATAAACATTTATCGTAAGTTTTTTTTTTTTTTTTTCATTTTTCTTAGTTTTCTTTGTTAATGCAAGGTAATATTCTTGTCCTCTTGTTCCGTTTCTGAATATTCAGCCGTTTCTTTATATGCTATTCGGAATTGGAACTCATTATGATTCTTGTTTTTTTCTTCCTACTTCAAACAATGGTACACAGAAAGTGGACGCAGTTAGTCCATTGAAAATATGTACACAGTATACTATACGTAAAATTATATTCAAAATGCTAGTAACAATAAAATGTAAATTAAACTTCAAAAGTTGATAATAAATTAAAAAAATTCTTGTTTAAGGCTTAACAAAATGTACTGTTATATTAAATACATTAAGAAAAATAAAGTCAGAAAAACAACAAAGCTATTATTATTTTTCTTGTTTCTTTTATTTCCCTTGCGTTCTAATAATGTTTACAAACTGTGAGAGCAAGTAACTCCTCCTGTATTAAGTTTAAAATTTCACCCAATTTTTTTTTTTCAAACAAAAGTATACAAATATTAAGAATATATTATAATAATTATATTTTACTAATTATATTTTACATTTAATTTTATATTCCGTATTACAGTGGATTGCTGTTCAAGTTATCTTACTTCTATATCTCTATCAAGTCACCCAATTTTTTTTTACTTATTTTTATAATACAAACATAAATTGAAAGTGATTTTTCATTTTTGAATGCCCAATTCCACTTTATCCCATGGATTTTTTTTTCTCTTCTAGCGTTCCAACCTCACGTTTTCGACCACGACGCAGTTTTAGGTAACCCTCGTGTTTTGAATATCATTAATTTCATCAAATTCCAACTTTCGAAACCTTTGAACGATGAGGAACTATAAGGGGGCGTTTGGTTCAGGAATTTTTTTTTGGAATAGTAGGGAAATGAGATAGATAGAGAAATGATTGGAAAGATAGATAAAGTGAGATAGGTAGAAAAATGTAAAAAAAGTTGTTTGGTGAGGAAAAACTTTATTGAGAAAATTAGGTAACTTTATGAAATCAACAGTGCATTAAAAGCCAGATAACCGGTTTTCCGAAAAATCCCACCTTCAAATTGGGTTTCTAAACAGTGCGGATATCTATGTTTCTCATAAATCCAGACAAATTGGATAGATGGGTTTTTGGTGAAAAACGTTGAAACAAACATGGTGTTTCTAAAAGCCATACTTGAGAAAGATAGATATCCGCTGAAAAGCTCCCAACCAAACACCACCTAAAGTATAAACAAATAATACGAGAAAAATATTAATCTCATGTCAGATGAGACAATAATCCTCTCCTACACACTCAAAAAGATCTGAGTCTCACTTCAATTTTTTTCTCCTCTTTTCCTGTGCAACAGAACCCATATCAAATTGGAAGTGCAACATGAGAAAATATAATCCCATAATAAAAACCATACAATTTGTTTTTGGACTTATCTAGTCTCATGTTGCATGAGAGAAAAATCTTATATTGTAAATACATAGTGGTGGGATCCACTATCTAAAAAAAATTCACGGTTATCGAAAGATATATAAGAAGAAAACTTACCAAACACATAAGAATAATTTTTCTTCTTACTTTTAACAGGCTACTACGTTACGTCTCGTCAGCATCTTGACCGCTGCTAATCTATGGTTGCTACTTTTTTTTGGGTATTCTCTTACTCACAAATTTTTTTTAATTCTCATGAATAATAGGTAAAAGTATTGATACATGGTGGTGCCGTGTGAATTTATTTAACCCACACCACACAATTTTAAGTTATTTTTCCATTCCGAGTCAAAAACCTTTTTTTTCCTTAAGTTCAAAATATTATTTATTCATCTTAATTTTATTAGTGAACATTAAACATTGTTCAAAAATAAAATTGTGCAATATTGTTAGGTACATTGACGATAAAAATTAATTTATAATTTATTATACACTATTTATGTTTTTAATTAAAAAGTAATTTTTTTTAAATCACTACTTAAAGCATCGAAAAGGTATCTCGTAGCATACTAAAAAAAGAGAGTATCTTGTATGATACAATTTAGGATAAATAATTTATATACTTACTAAAGCATGACACAATCACGTATTAATGGTATTATACTGTAAATCATATCCAGCAAAACATAAGTGTTATTTTACGCAAAAATTGTTATTACCAAAAGTTATATAATAAGCAGGCCTCAACTTAAAGTTTACATTACATGTACTGTTGTCCTTGAAAATTAAAATTAAAATCTTTCTTAAATGTGCATTTAATTTGAGTTGAGTTGAGAGTGAAGATGCAAAAGAGAAGATATTCTTATCATTTATCTGGAACTGACATCGTTATCCAACGTGGCATATGGAGCCACGTGACATGGATCCAGGGAGAAAAACTTTAATACTTCCTATTAATAGGAGTAGTACACATCAGTCGATGTATTTTTTGAAAAAAAATAAAAATTAATATCATAACAATGTATTTTCTATATACATAATTTATAATTTAATTTTGAAATACCGTAACACCGATTATTGCACGGAGCGCTAAAGATTTTTTCGGACCCAGGAGTATAAACTTGGTCCCCCCCCTCGCACTCGTAGGTTCTGGTATCGGTTGTAGCCAAACCAATCTTCTCCTTCGTCTCCGCTTCACAACAACATATCATCTAAAAAGATTTAGAGTTTAGACAGAGAAACTCTCTCTCTCTCTCTCTCTCTAGCCATTTTCTCTTTCTGAAACTGTCGTTGCCACCGGAGAGAGAAGTCACACGAAACTCACTGATTTCATATAAAGGAAAGATATATAGTGCTCACGCACTTAAAACACGTAATTTTCCTGGAAAATAAACAGCCAGAGAGAAAGAAAAAAAAGAAAGTCGTAGGAAATTGAGGAAGAAAAAAGGTCATGGCGATACCGTTGGACAGAGGAGGAGTGGCGGTGCTCTCGAATTCCGTCAACAAGGTCGATTCATCCTCGGCTCTCAATGGCGGCTTGAAGTGCTCCAAACTGGAGTCGCCAATTTTGATTTTCTTGTTCTTTCACAAGGCGATTCGGAATGAGCTTGACGCGCTGCACCGATTGGCCATGGCATTTGCCACCGGCAATCGCTCTGATATTCAGCCGCTCTCCGAGCGCTACCATTTCCTCAGCTCGATTTATAGGCACCACTCCATTGCGGAAGATGAGGTGCAAATCTTCGTTCAATTTTTATGTCTTTCGGAGTTTGTTCCCTGTTGAATATTGCGTTAATCAAATTTCGCCTGGTGAGAGAAATTGCGTAGAAAACGAAGATTTTATATGTGGTTGCTTTGTCAATGATGAAACGAAATGGCGCTCTTGTTTGTGTATTCTCTCGGCCATTTCCTATTGGTAAACTTAGGTCAAACTTTGAGACTTGTTAACTTTAGCGAGGCTATAATGATAACTAGCTTGGATACTTATGGGAACAAAGGGAGCTATTTTTGTACAGAATCGATTTCTTTATATTATTTAATCTTCTGTTACTATCTGTGGAAAGAAATGGTAAAAAATAAAAGGATTCAGTAATTTAGCTTGGGGGAAGAAGTAAGTTCAGGTGCGAAAAATATTTTAAAATTGAAACATTGGATATGGTCTCCTCAATCGCCGTGGCGTTTTCCGTTCACGTTGATGGTCTTTGGTTATTCTCAATTTTATTTTTTATTTTTTGTTTACACTATGCCTTTGATAAGATTAATTGGATATAAAATCCAGATATGACTCCTTTCGTCGTTTATCCCCCTAACAAAAAGAATGTCAATGCAGACGTTGTGGTTATTCTCTGTATTGTGCGTGAAAAACTTGGAAAAAACTTTTTCTTATGTGCCACTGCAGGAATTGATGTAGTTAACAAACAGCTAGTAGCACATAAACTTATTTCATTTTTTCGTATTTGACATGAAGTGATCTTTTACCGTCAGTCCTTCAAAATATTTCTTATAATAAATGCTTCGTTTTCAAATTGTGTTTGATTATTCTTTTCTAGAATTTCCTATTCCTGATAGAGTTCTATGACCTTTTTTTTTTTTTTTGTTAAGGCTATATGTTTTGCCTGATAGATTACATACTTCCCCCAAAGCAATTATATTTTTATTTTGGCTTTATCACTTCTTTTCTGCTAAGTTTCAAACATCCTGAGGGAAATATATTCTGGAATGTAGGTGATTTTTCCAGCTCTAGATATACGTGTGAAGAATGTAGCACAGACATATTCTCTTGAGCACAAGGGTGAAAGCCATCTTTTTGATCATCTATTTGAGCTGTTAAATTCTTCCCTCCATAATGATGAAAGTTTTCCAAGAGAATTAGCATCATGCACGGGAGCTTTGCATACATCAGTTAGTCAACACATGGCAAAGGAAGAGGAGCAGGTATAAATTTAATAATTTATTTAATAGCTCTTACCTTGTATTTCACTTGCACTCTTTTAATGAGATAAATACAAAGTAATTCTATTTTTTTCCCCTCCCTACAAGCTAGAATTAGTGTTATTATTGTCATTATTATTATTGATTTATTTATTGATAAAACAGAGATTCATAAAGAAGAAGAGATGGTATTTACGAAGAGTTTGGCGGACAAGGCATCCCTATTGTAAAAAGAATTTCAATTATTAACTATTGGAACATGACTGTGTGTCAAATTGGCCAATGTGGTAGAACTATAGAAATTTTTTGCAGTAACTTTTTATCATGGCCCTGTAGTTTAAATGGCTAAATAATATTATTTGTTTGGGGGATGTGTCTGATTTTTTTATTTATTTTATCAGGTATTTCCTCTGCTTATTGAAAAGTTCTCTCTCGAGGAACAGGCATCCTTAGTTTGGCAGTTTCTTTGCAGTATTCCTGTGAATATGATGGCAGAATTTCTTCCATGGCTTAAAACATCTATATCACCTGATGAATCTCAGGATCTTCGAAATTGCTTAATCAAGATAGTGCCAGAGGAAAAGCTTCTTCAGAAGGTGTGGTTTCAAATTCTGTTTTAGAGCATTGTTGTTTCATTTTCTTTTTTAAAGTTACTTTATGGGTTGAAGCTGATGATGCAATTTATATACATTTGATATGTAATGGTAATATATCTTATCATATTCTTGCTTATTGAAGGTTATCTTCACCTGGATGGAAGGGAGAAGTAGTGTTAACACAGTTGAAAGTTGTGCAGATCATTCTCAAGTTCAATGTAGTTCTAGCCCATTAACCCATCAGGTTAGGAAAGTAAACTGTGTATGCGAGTCGACAACAACTGGAAAAAGGAAATATTCTGGATCCATTGAAGATGTTTCTGATGTCACTGGAACACATCCTATTGATGAAATTTTGCTCTGGCATAATGCAATAAAAAAAGAGTTAAGTGAGATAGCAGTGGAGACCAGACAGATACAACACTCTGGAAATTTTACTAATCTATTGGCTTTTAATGAAAGATTGCAATTCATTGCTGAAGTTTGCATATTTCACAGGTATCACCTTAATTTAGTTTTATCAAGAATTGTGTTATAAGTGTATCATATGTTTCTTCAATTAAACAATTCTTACGCATTTCTTTTAGGGATTATTTCTGTGCTTTAATCTTTATGTAGTGTTGTAACTTTTAACTGCACAACGAGTAACAGTTATGAAATTATGCTATTTGAATGGTAAAGACCATCCTTTGTTATCTGAAGTATTAATTATTTATTCCTCTGAATGCAGTATTGCTGAGGACAAGGTTATTTTTCCAGCGGTAGATGGAGAACTTTCTTTCTTTCAGGAACATACTGAAGAAGAAAGCCAATTTAATGACTTCCGGTGTTTAATTGAAGGTATTCAAAATGAAGGAGCATCGTCTAATTCAGAAGTTGAATTTTATTCCAAGTTATGCTCTCATGCTGATCATATAATGGAAACCATACAGAGACATTTCCATAATGAAGAGGTTCAGGTGAGCCATAATTGCTCATGTGATCATCTTTTTGAGTGACTTGTGTGAGATTTGAATGTGTTTAGCAACCGCAATGTTAATTGCGACAGGAAGTAATATCAATTGGTTGGTGGCATTTGAATGGTATATAAGTTGATAAATATGGGTAATTGTTGAATCTATTAGTTAATTGATTACCTTTTATTGGGAGAGAAGTATGACATGGGAAGTTCTTTGTAAGAAATTTGCTACTAAGCTACCTTTAATCTATTTAAAGTGTTCTTAATTCCTCTCATCTATAGGTTCTTCCACTTGCAAGAAAGCACTTTAGCTTTAAAAGGCAACGCGAACTTCTGTATCAAAGCTTATGCATGATGCCTCTGAAATTGATTGAGCGCGTCCTGCCATGGTTAGTAGGATCTTTAACTGAAGATGAAGCAAAGATGTTTCTTAGAAACATGCAGATGGCAGGTTCGATGTCTATTTTTTAATGTCCTTTCCTACTAAAACAATAATATTTCTGAGAAATTTTTGTAGAATTGATATTTGACCACTTCTCAATCTGTTTCAGCTCCAGCAACAGATTCTGCTCTAGTTACACTCTTCTGTGGTTGGGCTTGCAAGGCTCGTAATGAAGGTCTGTGTTTGTCTTCAGGTGCATCAGGTTGCTGTCCTGCTCAAAGACTTTCCGATATCGAAGAAAATATTGTTCGGCCATCCTGTGCTTGTGCCTCTGCAGTGTCTGGTAGACATTGCTCAGTATTAGCTGAATCAGATCGGAACAATAGATCAGTCAAGCGTAACACATTGGAGTCGGACAAGAATGGAGATGTAACTGTAACTTCAGAGGCTGAAAGTATCCCGAAACAATTTTGTAGTGCTCGACCTTGTTGCGTGCCAGGTTTAGGAGTAAGCAGTAACAATTTGGGGCTGAGTTCTCTTTCTACAGCAAAGTCCTTACGCTCCTTGTCTTTCAGTTCTTCTGCTCCATCTCTTAATTCTAGTCTTTTCACATGGGAAACAGATAGCAGCTCTTGTGATGTTGGCTCTGTACAAAGACCAATTGATACCATATTTAAATTCCATAAAGCTATTCGTAAAGACCTGGAGTATTTAGATGTTGAATCTGGAAAACTGAGTGATGGTGATGAGACAATACTTCGGCAATTTAGTGGAAGGTTTCGTCTTTTGTGGGGTTTATACAGAGCTCATAGTAATGCCGAAGATGATATAGTGTTTCCAGCATTGGAATCCAAAGAGGCACTTCATAACGTGAGTCATTCATACATGCTGGACCATAAGCAGGAGGAACAATTGTTTGAAGATATTTCCTGCGTTCTTTCTGAGCTTTCTGTCCTTCATGAAACCTTGCGGATGACCCATATGTCAGAGGATTTATGTGAAAGTAATTTTGGAACTTCGGATGCCACTGAGAGTGGTGATATCAAAAAGTATAATGAACTTGCTACTAAACTTCAGGGGATGTGCAAATCCATAAGAGTGACTCTGGATCAGCATCTTTTCAGGGAAGAGTGTGAACTCTGGCCATTGTTTGGGAAACATTTCACTGTGGAAGAACAAGACAAGATAGTTGGCCGGATAATTGGAACTACAGGTGCTGAAGTTCTCCAATCAATGTTACCATGGGTAACTTCTGCACTTACTCAGGATGAACAGAACAAAATGATGGACACATGGAAGCAGGCAACTAAGAACACTATGTTCAATGAATGGCTTAATGAATGCTGGAAAGAGAATCCAGCATCTGTAACTCTGACAGAAACATCAGATCATAGCACTTCTCAGAGAGGTATCTAATATTCTTTCAGTTTCTTCATCTTTTATGGAAATTGTGGGATGGATAATTAGTATAATACTGTGTTATTGTTCTTTCCTAGGTGCAGAATATCAAGAAAGCTTGGGCCACAATGATCAGATGTTCAAGCCAGGTTGGAAAGACATATTCCGGATGAATCAGAATGAACTTGAGTCAGAGATCCGGAAGGTTTATCGTGACTCAACTCTTGATCCTAGGAGAAAGGCATATCTTGTGCAGAATCTAATGACAAGGTTGGTTCCAATGACCATAATTCTCTGGTTTTGTTTAATAGGGACATGCTTAACTGCATATTTGTTTGATAACACTTTACCCTATTGCCATCAAGCTCCAATTGTTGATTAGTTATTTGTGTATTGTAGTCGTTGGATAGCTGCCCAGCAGAAATCACCTAAAGCTCTATCTGAAGGATCATCTAATGGTGTAGAAACAGAAGGACTCTCACCATCATTTCGGGACCCAGGGAAACATGTATTTGGGTGTGAGCACTATAAGAGAAATTGCAAGCTCCAAGCTGCATGTTGTGGCAAGTTATTTACTTGCAGATTTTGTCATGACAATGTGAGCGATCACTCGATGGATAGGTAAATTTCTTATGGGACTTTTAAATTTGATGGTAGTATGTACCTTTAATCATCTTCTGGATCCTTACAGAAAAGCGACATCGGAAATGATGTGTATGCGCTGCCTGAATATACAACCAGTAGGGCCTATATGCATGACACCTTCATGTAACGGGCTTTCAATGGCAAAGTATTATTGCAATATATGCAAATTTTTTGATGATGAAAGGTACCTTTTAATTCTTTCTTCAGAATTCAAAATTTATTTTAAAATTATTGCCTTCCTTTTTTTTTTTGTGGGGGAGAAAGGGAGGAAGAGAAAAAAAAAAGGGGGGGGGGGGATTTGGGGTCAATGCCAATGGCCAAGTACCTTGAGCTTAACATTTTAATGTATTTGGACTGAAATTGACAACTTATGGACAACATAAAGGGGTGCATCCACCATTTTAGTGGAGAGCTATTCTGTAAAATAGATCAACTTATAGATGTTTCAAAGAAAAGAAGATGGACATTGATTGATTATTAATGGTAGAGCAAAATGCAAGGCTCAATCTATACTCTCTGGGGCAAAAGCATCTATTTCTTCAAAAAGACGGAGAATATCCCAGGGTTTTGAAAAGCATGAATTCAAATCTTTTGATGCTCCGATATTCAGCTGTACATATTTATAGTTTTCGAAAAAAATTAATAGTTACAAAACTATTTAGTCTGTTTGATGCCATATGAATGTCTTAGCAAGAAATATGATATGATTGATTATAATCTGTTCCTTCAACTTTTTTAGTTTGTTAATTTTATATTTCCTTTTATCTTTTTCCCATTTTGCATCAATCTTTTTCAGGAATGTATATCATTGCCCATTTTGCAATTTATGCCGTGTTGGACGAGGGCTTGGGATTGATTATTTTCATTGTATGAAATGCAATTGTTGCCTGGGGATGAAATCAGTATCTCACAAGTGCCTGGAGAAAGGTTTAGAAATGAACTGTCCAATTTGCTGTGATGACTTATTCACGTCAAGTGCTACAGTCAGAGCTCTACCTTGTGGCCATTATATGCATTCTGCATGCTTTCAGGTCTATTTTACACCCATTTTAGGTTTTAATCCCCTCTCAGAAAAGGGGGTGGGGATAAATAAATTATTCTCTAGGGTTGCGGATTCAATCTTATACTTTGTTATAATATGCTAGGCATACACTTGTAGTCACTACACATGCCCAATCTGCAGCAAGTCATTGGGAGATATGGCGGTAAGAAGATTTTCTTTCATTAAATCTCTCTTATGCACTCAATTAAGCCTTTATTCTCCACCTTTATGATTCTCCATCAAGAAACATAATGTTTATAGATGCACACAAAAATGCAGAGGAGAAACAAACAGGGCCATTAATTTAATAATGCTCCTATGTCTTTCTAAAATGTACTCGAGTTCACAAGTTGAGGCAAAATAAAAGATTTTAACAATTTGCGTTTTGAGTTTTGAGTTTTTCATATAATTCAATTAAATAAAAACTTGTTTTTCCTTAGTTTGAAAAATGTAAAACTGGAAAAGTATACATATATTGATCTTAACAAATTTATGCATAAAATGTTGCAGTTTTTGAATTGGCAATTTGACATAATTAAAGAGTGTAAGAGGACACTCACTCCCTTTGATTAAAAGATTGAATGAAAAGATGGGTGATATTTTTAGAATCAACATCAACATCAACAACACCTTTATCCCAAATTAATTGGGGATATTTTTAGAATATTCATGTTAAATCTCAATATCTTAAATTCTATGGGGTATGAATAACCACAGAGTTAACTAAAGAAAACCAAATTTGATTACCATTGATCGGGTTTGGTTGAGTGAGTTTCTTTGTCAATCATTTTGTCGGGGGTTCAGTTCGAATCTTTGTAGGGTGTTGGGGTATGGCTATTAGGGAAAAGCCACAGCTTATTGAACTTTTTCTGGTGCGGCATTGAAATAGAAATTGAGATGTTAAAGAAGGTACACGACATCCCATACTTGGTTGTTTCTCTACCTACCCAGGTTTACTTTGGTATGCTCGATGCCTTATTGGTTGCTGAGGAGCTTCCTGAAGAGTACAGGGACCGCTATCAGGTGAATACTTTTGTGTCTCTCTCATGTTACTCTTCACTTCATTCCTTTCAAAAGCTTGTTTGGATTTTATGAAAGAAAGTTTAGTTGGCCAGCAAAGAATTTGCAAATTTATTGTCTGTTTGAAATGGTAATGCAGGACATACTCTGCCATGACTGTGATCGAAAGGGCACTTCACGCTTCCACTGGTTGTATCACAAATGTGGATTTTGTGGCTCTTACAATACCCGGGTGATCAAATGTGAGGCATCAAATTCCACCTGCTCTTAGTGTGCTAGAATTTGTCAGGAGGTAGACATAGTTTGTAAATACTTGTATAGCCAATCCAAATTTCCCCCCAACCAGGAGGCCTATCATTGTTTCGTCTTATGCATAATGCAAGTGAGTCGCTACCTTACCTCTTATTATGAATTCTCATAAACCGGGGATAAAAGCATCTAATCAGTTTTATAACAATTATTTACAGATCAACTTTCTTCGAACTTTTTCTTTATGCAATTGGATACTTTTGCAGCCTCAGCTCGTTTCTTTCTTCTTATCGTTAAGTTCATATCAGTGCGCTTACTGCGCTCTATTCATGCTAAGGATTTCATCTACAAATTCCCTGGCTCGAGGTAGATACCGACTGATGTCATTATGGGTTCATATGGAAGCTCAGATGATATCGTTACCGAAGTGTTGTACCTACTATATCATTTTGAGTCCAATTGTGTAGTAATTCTATCAATTTAGATAGTGGTAGACGAATCAATGGTTAAATTGAATTTCCAATCTTCAATCACAAGAAGTTGAATGTAAGATATCAAACTGAAATTTGACCCAAGGCTTTTCTCCAATAATTTATGGGGTTTGCATCTATCATATCACATGACACAAACAATTTTCTACACACATAATATTTTGTGGGGTCCGCACTTTTTGAAGCAAAAAAATAAAATAAAAATTAAGGCACGCAAAACGAATCTCTATAACATTACACAATCACTTTTCTTACAACATAACTCTTATAAAACTCATAATTTATTCATTAGGATATTTTGATTTCACTTTTGTGAAATAATTATAAATAGGAACTAATTAACGGATTTATTGCATTTAGTTATGCCCAAAATGAGCGTGACCACTCGCGTCCAGATTAGGCGTAATAGGGTGCATGCACGGTCACAGCCAATTTAGGTGCGATTCACTCGGTGCTGATATGTGATACACAAAAAATTAACAGTTTGATTGTAAAATTTTGGACGATTATAACTTTTGACTCGAGTGTCTGAATCAGATAGTTTTTTTTTTTATTTCACATAATTTTTCAAAATCTATACAATGACATATCATAGAAGGAGATTTAGTCAAAAAAAAATTCAAAAATTTTTAAGAGTTCAAATTTACCATAAAATTTTGGATAACCATAGCTTTTGGCTCAAGAGTTCAAATTAGATATATATTTTTTATTTCACGTAATTTTTTGAGATTTACGCATTGAAAAATTATCAAAGGATTATTTGGGGAATTTTTTTGACAAAATCCCCTCGAGGTATTTGCCAATACGTAGCTCTTGAAAATTTTTATCAATGCGTAAATCTCAAAAAGTTACATGCAATGAAAAAAAAACACTTGATTCGAACACTCGAGTCAAATACGGTAAAATATCCCAAATTCTAAAAAATATTGGAATTTTTTTGACCAAATCTTCTTCAATGAGTTGTCATTGCATATATCTCGAAAAAGTCTTATGAAATTAAAAGAATTATTTAATTTGGACACTCTGAGTCAAAAGTTATGGTCTTCCAAAATTTTACAATCAAATTGTTGATTTTTTTGTCACATATCAGTACCAGATGAGTCACGCTTAAATTGGGTGCGATCCTGCACCCTATTGCACATAATCCAAACGCAAGTGGTCACGTTCATTTTGAACGTGATTGAGTATATTTAGATTCGTAAATCTAAAGTGTTATCTATTCGTAATTTGTTATTAATATAGTAATTTTTTAATTTTTTTTTTCTTCCCAAGCGAACTTTGTATTTCTTCTGCAATAAAAATACACAGAATGATTGAGCAGATCACGAAATAATAGTATTGGGGTAGTTATTGTCTGCTTGCCTAGTCTGTAATGATTTAAAAATTATATCAACTTGTCTATTTAAACCATGAGAATCACTATTGTAAAACTCCGGCTGGTCCGGTCATCAGACCGGTTCAGATCATGCATTGGATGAGTTATGTATTGACCCGGTCAAATCCGAATAAAATCATCTAAACCCGGTGACCAGGCGACCTGATCGGGTCATGCATTTAAAAAAAAAAATTAAAACTGTTTCATCAAAAAATATATATAACTCATTTTAATTTTTTTTATAATTTTATTTGCTAGTATACTCTTCTACAATGACCTCTTAGTTTTTAATAATGAAACAATTTATGAAATAATAAATTAGAGAATGTGACATATGTCATTTTAATGTAGTTGAATTTGAAAAATATTGTTCAATGTCATTGAGAGGTATGTTTATGGGGATTCTGGGTTGCAATTTAAATTGACATAGTAATAGCATGTATTTTTATTTATTTATGCTTCATATTTTTGAGCTTATTTAGTGAATCTTGTTTAATTCATTTTAGATATGGAAAATAATAAATATAATTAAATTTATATGTTCATATTTATATATATTTTTATATATCTATATATATTCGGGTCATCGGTCCGACCAGTGACCCACCGGTCCAACTAGTGATCCAATAACTCAGTATCCGATCAGGTCGATGCCCAGGTCGGGTTTAGCAACAATGACGAGAGCTGTGAAATAGTTATATTTTAAACATTAGTTAATTTAATTATAATTCAATTAATAGGTTGAATTACAATATAAATGCCTTCCTTGTCAAATTTTTATTTCTACCTTTAAAACTTTGGTTAAAAATATAAGACATCACCATAAATTTTCATTTCTAAATATCCAAGTGAATGTGAAGTGCCCAGTTCTACCATGCAAAATTGCTATGTTTACATGTTTCATTCTACCTCACATATATAATTGAGTAGAAGATTTTTTTTTTAAAAAAAACAAAAAAAAAATCATACTAATTGGAAAAAAATTATATCTGGCTATAAAATATTTTTTGTGTATTTAAATTAGTATTGAAACAAACAAGTCATGGATAATAAAATGGAATTGATGATGCTGCAGCATATGTACATAAATATAATGCGGTTAAAGGAATAGAAAATCTAGTTTGGCTTCCCAACTCCAACCGAACGATACCTCTCTCTCTCTCTCTCTCTATAACATTGTTGCATTGATATAAACTTCCCGGGGATTTTCAGAGACAAGAGGGAACACCCATCTCTGGTGTCTTACTCCATTATATATTCCTCAATTCCCAGACACACAAGAACCTCAAATCGCAGATAGAGAGACAACACAGTTTAAAAAAAAAAAGCAAGGAATTTTAGTGTATCTGAGAGACACAGTACGAGGAACAAGAGAAGCTGATCATCATCATCATCATGGCTATGGGTCCTGAAAGATCGAAGCCACTGCACAACTTCTCGATGCCATGTTTGAAATGGGGCAACCAAAGATTCCTGAGGTGCGTCAAAGTAACAACCGAGCCATCCCCACTCCCACTCGATCCTCACCAACATGAACAACCCCACAAGAGGAACAACAACCAAATCGACCCATTTCAAAATTCCAACGACGACATCGACGCCGTTCGCGAGAAGCTCATGATCGATCTCAGGGTCGCCGCCAACAAGCTCAAAGTTTCCATCTTTGAGGAAGGGAATGGGAATGGGAATCCAATGCCCTGGAATTTGAGGGCCAGAAGAGCTGCGTGCAAGGAACCTCACCATGAAGATCAGAGGAACCCAATTGATTCTGTCGGTAAAGCTAAGGAGAACAACAAAAACAAGAAGAAGAAGAAGAAGAAAACCAATGAGAGAGCCAAGTTTTCAGTTTCACTGTCGAAGGAAGAGGTGGAACAAGATTTCTTGGCTTTGGTTGGGACCAGACCTCCCAGGAGACCTAAGAAGAGGCCTAGGATTGTGCAGAGGCAATTGGATGTCAGTAATAATAAGACCATAAAATCATTTTTTATTTAAAAAAAAAAAAAAAAAAGATTTTTCCTTTTAACTTTTTCTCTCTGGTTTGGTTTAATTTTTTGCAGACACTGTTTCCTGGATTGTGGCTTACTGAGGTCACTGCAGAATCTTACAAAGTGGATCATGTCCCTGAATGAGGTCAAGTGGAGTGATAGTTCTTTTTTATTTTATTTTTTTAACTCTATCTCTGTATTGCATGCATCAGTGAATTTTTAATTGAATCTCTAATTTTTGTGAATAATGGTCTCCTGCAGGGGTTGGAATGATGCCATTGCGATGCTTGCTGACTTCTTACTTACACAGTGGGACATAAATAATGGTAGTTACCAAATCAACCATGTAAATCATAAACTTCAATAATGGAATTCTGCATTTGGTTATCGGAAATGTAGCAGCTTGCACATTCTATACATAAACAATATTTCTACTTTTGTGGAGATCTTCAATTCAATCTCAAATTGGTAGAATCCTGCTATACTGTATGCAGAGCAGTTTATTCTTTCTGTGTAGGCATTATGTGAATCTGTCTCTTGAAGCTAAGAACATAATCTTATCCCCCATTAATAACGTACTAAAAAGTTATTTTTGGCACTAGTTTTACCAGTTATAAAGATAGAGAAAAATTGACATATTTAGATTTGCATAGTTTGTACCATTGACTGTAATGTTTAAAAATATATAAATTTTCCCGACAACTATAGTTTAAGTGGCAAGGAACTTGTTCTCCTTGATCAAAGGTAGTGAATTCGAGTCCATATTAAAACCAGAAACATTAGTTTCTAACCATATTAAAGAAAAATGCATCTCCAGAATAAATGTATAAAAACTAAAACAATAGATTCTGAATGGAAAATGTGTTGTGTCAGATTCTGGGAAAGCAATAGATTTGGACCATTATTGAGGAGGATTAAGGGAGTATTTTCCATGATAGGCAAGACCAGTTGCCGCAAAAAAGGAATAGCTAAATTTTACACGTGCTGTTTGCTGGTGTAAATAGTGTTCAAACTTCATTCAGAAATTATCTTGTGTGATTGTGTTGCCATTCAAGAAACTTACTGCAGGGACTTAAATCAGATCGAATTGCTATAAAAATCATCTGTTAGCGAAGAAAGAACACTAGGAATGCAGATTTTACTGTCTTTCTATTCTTGTCTTTGGGACATTGCGCAAATGTTGATTGCATCTGTTACTGGAGAAAAGCTGAATAAATACCTGAAGCAAATGTTTTTTCTCAATTGCATGGGGTATGGTGATCATCTCTAAATGAAATGACAGCATTGTGTAAGGAAATAGTAGCAATTCGTTAAGGATTCTGTTGCCATAAACATGTTCTAAGATGAAGCAATTATGCTAATAATAGCAGTTGAAGGTGTATTTATGCTAGTGATAATTCTTGTTATGTAGCGGTTGAAGAGTAGTAGCTAGTAATCAGAGTTATAGTTGAAGCAGACTTTCATGCAACAAAGATCTCAAGTAATTCTTTGACATCACTCAATACTGGGATTTGAGGTTCTTGTGTGCTGGAATGGAAGAAAGCTTGTAAAAAAAACCTTTGTCTATCCGAAATGAATGTTGTGATCATATGGAAAGTTTTAATTGTTTGGCAATGTTTTTCTTTTTGGGTGAAAAATATAAACTACTTATTGAATCACTATCATTATTAGTTTTTATTTTCGGGTTATTGAATCATTATTACTTACTTGGACGGCTCTATGTGCTGGACTTGAATTAATGTAAAAAATGCCACAACGGGCCCTCATAAATCAGGCCAACCCGTTTGACATAATAAGCCTAATGCGCTTTGTCCAACCTTTGAGTTTCTTGATATGTGGCCCAATTTTTATTTTTGTTTACAGTTTTATCTTTTTTTATTTCAGTTAGTCATCTTTCTTTGAGTTAGAGTTTCTTCTTTTTGGTTTTTATTTTTATTTTTTCCTTTAAAATAAATTTCTGGTTTTTCTTAAGGTATTTTTTTAATTTCAAAATACAAATAACTCGTACTATTTCAGATTATTCATTCTTTCATATTAGATTATTTGGTTCATGGTTTCATTTTATTATTATTTTTTTGTGTGTGTGTGGAAAGGTTCATCATTTTACTTGTATTCTTTCTCTATGGTTTTGATCTCTACTTTGTTATCTTTAAATGACTTTCTCTTAGATCTTTTTTAATATATATATATATATATATATATATATATATATATATATATATATATTTTTTGTAATTTAGTGGCCTAAAGCCCCAGCCAAAAAAAACTAACTAATTAACTAATACTAACATTGCGAGAGAGGTCATCAAAAAATAAAATAAAATAAGTGTCTTGACCAGCAGACATCACTCTTGCGTAGTTAGCCATCCAGTCAACAGATTTTTTTGAAATATCAAAGAAGACTTTTTCTTAGATGTTTTCAATATATTATTACAACTATTATTTAAAATATATCTTTATCGTTTGGTTATTTCCAAAATTTTGTTATTTTAATTTTAATTATTGTATTTTATTTTATCCGCAACCGCATGGTATTTATCTAGTTGATTGAAAAAATAAATTTGAAGAAAAAGGATAAGAAGATTTCAAAGGGAAGAAAAAGTTTAGTTTGTACTAACTACTATAACCATTCCAATAATTAATGTGGCATGTTCCATTTAAAGAAATTGTTCCTTTCGTAATGTAAACCAGAAGAATTCAGAATAGTTAGAGAGTTCGCAAAAATTTGAAAATATATATTATTTTGTTGAACTGTTTAGAACCGCCAATTCATGAATCAAAATTAGATTTATTCATTAAATTGATTTATCTATGAATCAAAAACATAAACAAAAGATTAATAGGAACTCAGGAAGAAGATTATGCAATATATTCACACCAAGGTTTTAGAGTTTTGGATTGATAACACAATAATTGGTGGACAAATTTCATGCCCAGCTGCTTAATTCATGTTGGCCAACAACAAATAAAGATAAATACTAGTGCTAAGCGTTATAGGTCACGATCACCACATTCATGCATGTGAAGATAGGACAAACAGTACCATCCGATTAATAGTAGCTATGTTATGTCCTTTCAATCTCGTGAATCCATTTTAAGGATACGATTCACAAAATACTGAATACGCATGGATGATTCAAGGACCACAACAATATCCACCATGGATGGAGACACATATATAACACAAATATGAGAACCCCCGGATACTGAGCAAAATGTCACTGTTCACTAACTTTTTTATATAAATGCCACGCGAACAGTGTTATTTTTCAATCTGTCACGGAGGCAAGTTTGCTTCTGACACAAGCGACCTCGGTTTGTTGACGTGTCACATTTTTAGTGGATAACAAGTATTAAATTTTTAAAAAAAAAAAATTCAAAAAAAATGAAGTTCGCCTACCATGTAGGCGAACTTGATTAAAATATTGTTGGAACCGAGGTCGCCTGTGTCAGAAGCGAACTCTGACACCACCAGGAAGCTGACACGTCAGCAAACCGAGGTCACTTGTGTCAGAAGCGAACTTGCCTTCGTGGCAGATTGGGAAATAACACTGTTCGCGTGGCATTTAGGTAAAAAAGTTGGTGAACAGTGGCACAATGGTCACTGTTCCCCCTCTCAAAAAAAAAATTAAAACATTTATGTATATATGGTTAAAAACCAGTTTCCATTGAAGAACATCGTGATTATAACCCAAAAAATGATTTTGTTTTGCATCCAGTTTAAATGTCAACAGGATTTTTTTATTTTATTTTTACATTCTAACAAAACTCATTAATAATAATTGTGTGCATTAAAGCTCATAAACAACGGATATGGAAGAGCAAAAAATAAATAAAAGAAAGAAACAAAACCTGCTTGACTCAGAACAGTTAAGTATTAGATATTTTCTAGTCATGTGTAGTGAATTTTTGGACCCTTTGGGAATGACATTATTAACTTTGCAAGTGCACCAGGTCAAAAGATGGTCCATGATTAGGTGATTTAGTAAAAGTTTTCCAAAAGTTAAAGTTTCATCAAGAATACTTTTGTCCATATTGAAACTGCCACCTCTAGCTGTCATATTTTGCGCAATCGGCAACAAGATGTTAGTTGAACTAAAGGAAAATTTCTCATAAATAAACAAGTGCTAATCTGAACAAGCACCCAAAGGCACAAAGCTTCCAATTTTAAGTGGAATCACCAAAGAAAACAAGATGGGACAAAGCATTAAAGATGGATTCCCAAGCTCGTGGCCCTTAATCTGCATGACCAATATTTCTACTAATTGTCTTTGTATAAACATATCCAACTTCATTGAGTACTATGCTGATTAACCTCTGCTAATTCTCTCTTTCTAGTCTGATAAGAATAAATAATGATGATTTTCATAAGCCAGGATTAATCATTAATCTCATACATGATAAACATATGAACAAATCAATTCTTGCTCTTCTTAGCCTTCCCAACACGTAAAAATGAACCCAACCCAAATAAACTTGCACTTCCTTTAGAAATGTAAGGAGTAGGTACGTTTAAGACAGGACTAATCCAAAGACCATTGGCATAGGATCCTCCATAACTCTTACCTGAAGGAGACTTTTGCATTGGATACAAATTTAAGGTAGAACATGAAGATGATAATGACTTAGCTGCTGATGATGGCTGCTTGTTTGAAATCATTCTCTTTGGATTTAGAGCTGAACCAGATGAGTTGCTACGTGACAAAGGAGGTGAAGAACATATCAAGCTTTTGTTTGTATCACAGCTGAAACTTTTGCTTCTACTGAATCCCCAGAGAGGCATAGACTGTGTTTTTTTCTCATAAACAGGATTTACATCAAGAACTTCTCTAATGCTCTTTTTCTTCATTCTGTCAACGGTAGGGGTACATGGACGAGGAGGAAGTCTCGTATATGGAGGTTCACCATAACGTGTGTGTTTCCTGGTAGTGTTTCTTTCTTGTGTCTGCATGGGAAGTATCACCCCATTAGAGAATAGCTCATCTGCTGAAGAATAAGATGATTCAAACTCAAGGCTTGTGCTGGTGCTGAATTCAAACTCATGATTTAACTCCATATCAAGCAATGTGTCTTTGTGAGGAACATCCTCTGAGAGATCATCATGGGAGAAAGAGAAACGAGGGGGAGCTGTTTCAGAGCACATAGTCATAAACAGGTTCCCTCAACAGTCAGAAAAAGAGGAAAATTTGAAGAGAAGAAAGCTTTATGGATTGAAAATATAGAGTTGGTTTTGGTTTACAAGTCAAAAAGACAGAGAAACAGAAGGCATCCACTTACAGAATACAAAAGAAGGAGGCACAAAGAATTATTCATCTATTATTGTTAAGAGGAAGAATATGACTAATTAATAGAGAAAATGTTATCCGTGGCAATTTGGAAAGTATAAAGAAAGATGAAAACTTCAAAGTTGGTAAAAGTGTTGGTTGAATAGAGGTAAATGACTGCAACCACAATCTATTAATTAGTATTAGCCGGCTAACAAGACTTGTTCTATAAGACACAGACTTTGGGGGTCTCATCCTTCTACTATTTAAGCTCTTTGTTCTTTTCCATCATCATATATTTATTCATATTTTTAAACTTTCCATCTCTAACTATTAACAATCACAATTTATTGTATAATCATATTTAGTCATTTAGATGTGCAATGATCATTCATCATCTTTTTTTCCCTACATGTCAGGATGATTTCTTAAGGACGTCTGTGACAGAATTAATACTGAATTGAATAATCATATTCATATAACACGTGGATGGACCAAACTGCAATCTTTTTTGGGGTTAATTCACCCTGTGACTAGAATTATACTAAATATGTCTCATAAATTAAAAAACAATAAAGAGAACATTCACAGATCAAATACTTAGGAGCATGTATATCAAGTATCACAAGTTTAAGGTTATGGTAAAGATGACAAGCAACTTACAAACAATATAATTTTAGTTTATATTACCCCCCACACACACACAAAAAGAAAGTCACATCTAATTAATTCATTGAAGCTTATCTGAATAATTTGACTGATTCCGAATCAATAGGGAAATAGGGAGAAAAATACAGCATAGATGCATAGTCAAATTAGAGTTCCTATAGACAGAAATAAGGTAATGACGTTAGCAAGGATCAACTCTCCTCTAAACCAATGTTAGATGGAGGCTCATTCAAAATCATGTTAAGATACAAATCTAAGTTTATGCAAGAACAAGAATTACTTATTTCTCTAACAATTACATCCCATTTTGTGAAGATAAAAGCTTCCAATACATCCATCTGCTGTAACTTGGTCAAATTAATGAATGAGACTGACTTTATAAGTATTCATGCTGAAAATTGTAATTGTAATGTAAAACAACTAATTCAACGAAACTGTTGTTTCTGGATAAATTTAGGGTGAATTGAGTTATCTAAATTTAATAAATTTAAATTAGAGTTAATTTTTCAATAATAATTTTGAGTAATAAAGAAAATAATAAAGAGAGAACATAAGTAATTACGTGAAATAAACTCTAACAAGGGGGGCGTTTGGTACACGACTTTTATTTGAAAACTCGGGAAAGCATAGTAGGGGAACAAAGAATGTTGCGTTTGGTAGCTGAATTATGAAAACTTCCTAGGCCAAATATCATTCCTGGAAAATGGTTCTGTGTGTTAACTTTGGTACTGTTTGTCAAATTAGAGATCTATAGAATTGGTGGAATTATTGAGTGTCCGGGAAAATGTTGTGTTCGTCGTTTTCATCGAATAGAGGCCAAATATAATATTTCAAACATAACGTACGGCTGAAGTTATTTTCGTAAAATAACCTCACATTCCCACAAATATATTACAACCAACCAAACACACACTCAGTATATTTATTCATAATTTTTCGAGTAAATCTGATCCTACCAAACAGCTTTTTAGTAACATTCCAGTAAAATATATTTTCCTCTATATTCCAGTAATAATTATTTACTGGATTAAAAAAAAATTCTCATGTACCAAACGCCCTCTAAAAGAAGGGGGAATCCACTATCCCAATCTTAATACATTTTTCTAATTAGGAGATGAATCCACTATAGTAAGTCACACTCTAACGCCCGACCGCGTCAAGAATCAATGACTATCCCCACATACTAACACGAGACTTTTCAGTATGATTTTTTCTCACTCGCACACTTCCCGGGAAAACTTCCTAGGAGGTCACCCATCCCAGAATTGCTCCAAGTCAAGCACGCTTAACTGTGGAGTTCTTCCGATCCGGGCTACCGAAAAGCAGATGCATCTTGTTAGTATAGGTAGTACCAATTAATTCTTATAAGCTATCCCAAACTGTGCAGCATCACACCTGCACAGTCTTTGAAATCCCTCTCTTTCGGGTGTCGATTCGATTCATCCGGTCATGTAACCCCCCACCGGAAGCCTGTCAGGAGCCGCTCCTTGTCCATGCCTTTCGCACCGGCGATCACTCCCCGCCCTCGTCAGCGCTCGGGATGTTACATGCCCACCAGCTTCCGCCTGGTTCGTCCTCGAACCACACCGTACTGGAAGAGAGGCCTGCTCTGATACCACTTGTAACGCCCGACCGCGTCAAGAATCAATGACTATCCCCACATACTAACACGAGACTTTTCAGTATGCTTTTTCCTCACTCGCACACTTCCCGGGAAAACTTCCCAGTAGGTCACCCATCCCAAAATTGCTCCAAGTCAAGCACGCTTAACTGTGGAGTTTTTCCGATCCGGGCTACCGAAAAGCATATGCATCTTGTTAGTATAGGTAGTACTAATTAATTCTTATAAGTTATCCCAAACTGTGCAGTCTCACACCTGCACAGTCTTTGGAATCCCTCTCTTTCGGGTGTCGATTCGATTCATCTGTTCATGTAACCCCCCACCGGAAGCCTGTCAGGAGCCGCTCCTTGTCTATGCCTTTCGCACCGGCGATCACTCCCCGCCCTTGTTAGCGCTCGGGATGTTACACACACTCAATTCAAAGTACAAGAGTAGAATATATTCTATCCTTATACAAAAATTTAGTCAAATCTAACTCTAGATTTAGGTATCCCAATTTATCCTCGTAAATTGAGTCTCAATTGTCAATCCCTTGACAATTGCTAAACACTCTTCTAGTTTAACTCTAAGCCAAAAGAATAAAAATCTCAATTATCACTAGACAATTGCTCCCCTATTGCGGCAATAACTAAAAAAAATCTTACCGAAAAAAAATTAAGAATTATCTTACATGCATCTAATTAATAACCAAATAGATACATATCAAACTTATGTGTTGGAATCAATAAATCTGCTCATGTCTTAGTTGTCAAATAATTTTGAATACACCTTAAAAAGAAATACAAATAATATGTGCTCTTTCTCTTGAATGTCCGGCCACACTTTGAAAAAAGACTCAAAGTATGGTCTTTTTTTATAGACTTTTTTAAAAATTAAATCCTAAGAAAAAATCTTTAAATTTTTGCCCTAAATCTATTTTTTAAGGTTAGCATGATTTTAAGAAAACTTTCCAAATTTTTTTTATTAAAACTAGAACTAAAATTTTCAAATTAATTTTCCAAAAATAACTTTCCAAAGTTAAATAAAGTACGTAGAATTAAATATTCCAAAAAAAAATCTCAAGATATCTTTTTCATTTTCAAATTAAAAACCAAATCTCAATAATCTATTTAGATTAAAGATAAATCTTTTCCATCTTCTTTCATTAATTTCCAAAACTTTAACATAATCTAACCTAAGACATGATCACAATTCACCTCATCCAACAATTACATGAAGTCTAAGATTTTATCTTGCAATTTCGATCTTCATGATTTCATGACAATTTTGTTGTATTCACTTTTTTATAATTCATGATAATTACTTCCTAGATTAAACTTTCAAAAACTAAACAACATGTTAGATAACTTGCCTTCACTTGTTTATTATCATCAAAACTAGATAAGATGTGGAACTCAACAGAAACAATTTAAGTTATTAGATAAAAATTACATTAGTGATTTTATATTATATTTCTCTAACATATCTAATCAAATAAAATTTTATTAGATGAGAATTGAACTCGTGACTCTTACTATTTTATACATTATATAAAGTAATCAATTCAATCTAATAATATAAATTTAAACTTTAAATAAATATTACATTAGTAATTTTATATTATATTTTGTTAATATACAGAGCAGGTATGTGACTTTTTGATAATTGAAAATGTTGAAGCCTATAAGGGCAATTTGAGGTTAATGGATCGGGTAGAAAGATAAAAATCAAAAGGTTGAGAAGAAGAGAAAAGAAGAGAACTATAGACTACCGGTGCTTTGATGAGCAAAGGCTAGCATGGGAGTCAAGGGACACCTTTGAGCAGTGGCGAACCCAGAATTTTTTTTTTATGTCTGCACACAGGGCGGGGGTTTGGAGGTGCCACCTCTGGTTTTTTTTTTAAAGATCATAATCATGGTTCAATTTTTGTTTCCACTTCAAAAATAAAGCTTTGATGAATCAACCAAAAATTTAAGGAAATAATCGATAATGATAAATAAAAAATAAATAAACACCACAAAAAGACATTTATAAAATATAGTATAATTGTGGGGGTTAATCGATAAAAAAATTCACCTTTGTCGATGTCTATTTGATCCAAAATTGACCAGTTTTATTTCATAAAAAAACATGAAAAATCCCCTGTAATTCTTCTCCACTCTTTATCTTTTTCCTTTTAATTTTTTTTTTACTTGATTTGAATCAAACACTATGTAAATTTCTTTTTTCCTCCTTAATTTTATGTCTGCAAGTGCAGACAATAAAATCAATGTAGGTCGGCCATTGCCTTTGAGGAGGGAGTGGGACCCTACATATAACTACTGCTGCTTCTTATCATAACCCATTTTTTACCACTTGCTATGTGTGAGTGTGAGTAATAATCTCTCAACGTGGAAGAATCCTTGATGACAAAATACTAAGGTGGTGTTTGGTTGAGGGATTTTTGAAATTACCCCATGCAAATGAAGTTGGCATTCTGGAAAGCATGCGTTTGGTTGACAGGTTTATGGCTGAACACCCAGACAAGGACGATGCATACCATTTTTAATTTTGTGCCATTTAGCTAGGCTTCCGCATTGTTTAAAAAGCATATCAGGAGGTGGTTTTTTTTATGATTGTCGGTTAAACACATGGCCCCACAAGACTAATTCTAAAAAGGTATTTTAAAAAGCAAGGCTGATTCAAAATTTTATAAAAACAAGGGTATTTTCATCATACCACATTATTTCCCCATCTATATTTTACCAAAAGTCAAACATAGACTTTACAAAAGTTACCTAATTTCCCTGGTAAAATATTTTTATACCAAACAACATTTTTTACATTTTTCTACCAAACTCACTTTCCAACCATTTCCCTAGTAATCTCATTTTCCTATTATTCATAAAAATTTTCCCTCAACCAAGGGGTGTTTGGTAGAGCTTTTTAGTAGAGATAACTAGGCAACTTCTAGTGGTATTTTAACATAATTATGTTTGGTAGAAGTTTCAAAAAAATTTAACCATGCAAATGCTTTACCCAATCATTATGTTTTGTTTGCAAATTTTGATGAAAAACAATGTTTCAAAAAAACAAATGGAAGGTGGTATTTTGGTTTGATGGGAAAAGAAAAAATAGAGCACAAATTTGAAGACGGAAATGCCCCTGGTTTACTTTTGGAAAAAGTGGAGTCTTTTCAAAAAAAATCATATGGAAGATGGTATTTTCGTCTTTTCAATCTATTTTTCCATCAATATTTAATCTTTAACCAAACATAAACTCAGAAAATTTAACCCAATTTTTTCAGTAATATTTCGGCCTACCAAACAACTTTTTTGTAACTTTCCTACTGATTAGACCAAATCTTTACAACTGGGCCGATCATGTGATCTTCCTCTACAAAGGCCTGGAACCGTCTTGGGTCAGAGCATCTTGCAGTTGAACCGCTTTATCCCAGGGGTCTTTGATGGAGCGCGTGGGGGTGTACCTGCAAGACACTCCGACGCTCAAGTCAGATATGGTTCAAGCAGGTTTAATTATGTAGGAGAAGATGATGTACCTTAGTGTTGATAGATGTATTTATAGTGGAGATATGAGCAACTTGGAGATGTCTTAATGCTGAAATATACTTGGAGATGAAGTATCTTGAAGTTACTTGCTGTCATGCTGCCTTTAATGTTGAGGAGCTTTGCTAAGATAAGCTTTATTATTGTGGTGCTTGATGGGATAAAGCCATGAGTTTTTAATATTGTTGAGTTTGCAGTCTTCTTGGACTAAGATTTTGCTTCATTATAAATGCTTTAATTCTAGGCCTTGTATTTGTATAATATTTATTCAGATCACCTACCAATCTCACTTTCTCACCATATTTGAAGGGCCCCATAAAATATCTATCAACTCAGAATGCGTGGCATACCAGAAACCATTATTTGGTGCAAGAAAACCATATGCACTTTGAGTGAGATAATAAAAGAGAAAATCAATGACAACGAGATTCAAAGACGTTTGCTCTTGTTGGAAGAATCAAACAACGATCGGTGCTATATTTAACTTCAACTAGCTTTACTTACTTCATTATTTTGGATGTCAATAGAATAATACATAGTCAACGCCCCCGTTTATTGATTGTTATAAATTTCTCTATCACTCACAAACGATATAATGAAAGTACACAAATCAAGCAATTTTTATTAGAGAGATATAATATAAAAGAGGAGAGATGTTTTGATTTTAATATAGGATTAAGAAATTTTACTCTTTATCTCGGCCTTTAATTTTTTTCATCTAATAATTATAGTTTATTGAATTATATTAATTAATTATTAATTTCAAATAAATTACAGTACTAGTTAGATTAACGGCTAAGAAAAGGAGTAAGACTTCTTAGTCTTATATTGGAGTCAAAAACTCCTTCCTTAATATAAAATTATTAATGGACCTTCACAGTTTAAGTTTTTGGATTTAAATAATTTTTTACATGGTATCAGAATATCAGTGTCCAAGTGGTCACGAGTTCAATTTTTACCATCTCATATTTTAGTAATAAATAATTAATATTATAAAATTTATTAACATAAGTAGAAAGTCAGTGCATTTTTGAACATATAGTAAGTTGCAGTCAAATTCCTAGACAATTTTAAACATTAGTACAGAATAGAGTTCTTAATTTGAGAGTAGCTTCACCTACTTCCATGGAAGTGACCAATTTCTTGCTTCCGTGTCACTGGAAGTTATTATTGCAGTTATAAAACATTTTTATCTAAATTTCTTTATGCTATTTATTTCAAGAGAATGACTTTTCAAATCTGAACCGTGGTTTGTCAAACAGCACAACATGATGTATTTAATTTTGTTCTTATAACGATTCAGATTATTTAAGACTTGACTTATTGACTCCTGAAAATTTTAGCCAAATGCTTATTTTTAAAACTTTTACTGAGCAGTAGCTCCTTGTCTGCATATCTCTGGTGATCGTGAAAGAATGGCGTATTAAACATCGACAACCGATTATGATTCGCTACCAAAGAAGAAAAAGTCCTCCTGTTGTGGTCATTTAGAAATTAGAAAGCAAATATTTGCAATGACAGCTGTTCAGACATTGAAATATAGGATATTTAAGGACGAGTATTGCTAAAAGAAGTAATTCTACGTCTACATTTAAATAAACACATATCCAATAACTAACACAACTTAGTGTAATTTCCTTTTTCTTTTTAAATCATGGTCTCAGCTGTTGGGGCCACCATGATTTAAAAAGAAAAAGGAAATTACACTAACAGTTCTCCATTCTATTTGCTTCCTTTCTTCTGTAAGAATAATTATCCGTCTGAATGTTTCACGAAAAACAAAAATTCCTTGACTGTTGGAGTTCTACATCCTCCAAATAGAACGAGGGGAAGAACAGAATTGAAGCACCACTAATTGTCCATTAAACAGTATAAAGAAGTACTACTGCATAGATTGGAGACTATACAAGAGATCTCAAAATCTATACCTCTTGTTTATTGAATCACATTAAGGATATATAACAAAATATTGCATAAAATCATATATAATAAATACACATATCTTTACAACAATCTCATAATAATAAACACACAAAACTCGAAAGCTAGAGCACTATATTGACTCACCCCATAGACTGAGGCTACTAGCTACTTTTAAACTGAAGCCAGTATAACACTCGACATAAGGTAGTAATCATAAATATCAGTACAGAAAGTTTACGATTTGATCAAATCACCTGAATGCGTACAGAACAAATAGCCATGCAGGCAGGCCATTGGTGAATAGTTACAAAATAAGACCTTTAGAAGCCAAGAATAAATAGCCAACGGAAAAGATTTCTTCATTTTACAAACACCGCAGACATGACATGCATTATGATGTCCACAGCTGGTTTAATGATAAAACCTATGAACCTTAGAAAGTATGGTAATATGAACAGCTCGATGACTAGATTTTTAGCCATCTAGAAGCAACAAATTCTTATCATCGAAGATCAATGACATCAAATTTTAAATCTGGGTTCATGTAAACATCTGTACATGTATTGTAAATGGGACCACCATCTGGAGGCTGATTATGTGGATGAAAGCCACGTTGCTGGCATTGTCTAATGACTGACATGCCACCAGGGGTTGTCAACCGAAAAATGCCATGGGTTCTGTACATGTAAATGGACACAAGTCAAATCAAAATAGACACTCTTTGAGCACCTAAATTCAGTACCTACTTTATTTGTAAATCTGAGAATGTTCCGGTTAATGTCCTTTTAGCATTTCTATATGGGTTACAACTCACAATTATTCTATTAAGGTTTTAACTTGTTTGCCAAGGTTTATTACGTCTTTTATTGTGTTTCCTAAATTTGTTAGAGGGAGAGGGGGGGGGGGGGGGGGGGGTAGTTGGGGTTTGGTATATATGAAAATGTAGGGTGAGAAGAGGCTCTTCCCAGGCAAGCCACCAACCTTAGCAAGGATTTACATTGAGATTGTAGATCGAGGTATCCCGGGATTTGAACTCAAGTCATGCAATTATCATGAACAGAAGATCAATTTCCTAATATAAATATCCCTTACTCTAACTGTATCAAGCAGTCTCGTACTTGATAGTTATATCAAATTTAATCTCACCAACAACTTAATTCTGTTATGAATATGCTTTCTTAACTAACTTCCCACATCAAGACACATTGGAGACGTGATGTTACCTTGAGCTGTCTGTTGGTGCCATGACTATTGCAACAGATTCTGGCAACATAATCTATAGAGACAAGCATTAGCATAAGATACAAATATCTATATCTATATATATATATATAGAAAATACCGGAACAACAACATGTACAAAGAAAATATATGAAAGCCCTCAAGTGTACTGTAAATAACCCCATCATTAACACAAACAATAGAAGAACTAAATTTTTGCAAAATCACCAAATTTCTAAGGGATTGATCACAACGCAAGATATACAGAAGAAGAGGACTTTTCAGATATATTTCAACTTGTATATGAAATTATACTCTCAACTGTAAGTTTGATAAATAAAGATCAAAAACTGAATCTAGGATGACAGTGCAAGGAATCTAGTTGCAAGACTTCAGTTCATAACAGTACAAGAAATTAGATCAATAGGTAACATATTAAACAATTCCATTAGCAGCAGATCTTCTCTTTTCTTCCACCATATCCTCAGAGAAAAAGGCACAAATATATCTCAAAGACTAAGCAAACAGCACCCATGAATAACAATCTCAACTAAAATTTAAGAAATCTTTCATGAACTCACCTGATATGAGTAATGGGTGTGTAGATCAATCGATGACATGAAACAAGATTGTGTAGGATGTGTCTGGCAATTCAGAATTACATATTTCAGTGTTGCAACATGGGAAGACTAACAAAGTAAAAATAAGAAATTTGGACACGAGACAAATGAAACTAGAGAGTAACACAGCAAATTCCATTCTACAAGACAACATTTCTTATATCTTTCTTTTAGGAAATAGAAAGAAAGGAAACCAGAACCCCAATTGGTTCCCTCTAAACACAAATGCCACAGAAGTTCAGGCAGCTCCATTTAAGCAAACAATTTTTAAGCCACTAAGGTAGGTTGCAATCAATGAGCACAAGAAACAAACAAATGTGTAAATTTAGAAGGGGGGAGGGGGGGGGGGGGGTGAGGAATAAGGGAGACAACAATAAAAATCAAAACTCCTAAAGGTGATCTTAACCAAATCTATTAGAAAAATCGCTGCAACAAAAAAAGATGATATAATATACCTAAACTGAAATTCTCCAGTTGTTACTCTCAAGCAAAATGATCAACTCAGTGTAACCAGGACTGGCCCTCTATGTCACTATCACTTGAATTGGCATGCCACATCCATTTAAGGATAGGCCTGTAATAACTAATTGCGTGACATTTTTTCTTTCCTGTCCTTGTGACTAGATTATAGCAAACTTCTTTTCAAATTTTATTTTCTTAACCTTTATTGGGGGTGGGAGGAATGAGTGCTTCAATACTGATTTTGGAACATTCTCCATCCAGCATACCTCTAGTGTTATCTCGGCCAACTTTGAAGCATAATGCTCTGTAAGTATATGAAAATTGCTCCAGGTGCATTCTCCGTTTATAGTTTATACCTTTCTTCAAGAGCCTGCTTTTCTATATGGTAAAATTTAACAAAGAAGTGTGGCTGTGAGAGTGCTTTTCAAGATATAATGGCCTCGAATGCTCTCTCCTCCAAATTACTTACGTGTTATCTCTTTTCTCACATGGGTTAACGCTATTTACATCTCACCTCCCCAGACCCCAAAATGGTGGGTGCCTTGTGCATATGCCAATCTTTTATCTCTCCTATTAAAAATCTCCACATTTTAATTTTTCTATTTTCAGTACATGTTTGGTTCATTTTATTTTGGAAAAATAATCCTTCTATTTTCTTTGCAGCTTTCTTAGAGAACTTTGAAAAGGAAAAAAAAAAAAACCAACTATTTCCCCAGAATTGAGATGAACAAAACTGATGAGACTGGATCAGAGAATTAAAGAATTTAAAAGAAGCACACGCTTTTGGCCCAGATAACTGGATTTCCTGTATTAATATGGAAAGGAAAGTACACCACTACAGTCTCAGCTATTACAGAAAGGAAATACACAAAGATAAATGACTACTACTAAGAACAGATTAATCAAGCTACCGTGCACCCCATGATACAGTTTCAGTACAATTGAAGAGGTACTGATTCTCTCCCAATCTGGTTTCCCAGCCAAGTGTGTCCAAATTCCCAATCTCCTTTTACACAGTACACATTCCCCCCTCTTATACTCATCTTAACCTCCTAGAATATTCTAAAGTTAGTTATGCCACCTCATTGGTAGAACATAATCCCCTACAACCCACCTTACATACACTTACATATATATTCCTATCAAAAACATGGCCTAAGTGCAAAATGGATACAATATTACTAAATTTATGGCTAAGTGCACTTCCAGAATACAAAAGCCTGTAACTAGTCACTCACCTACTTGCAAAGCAGTTTCACCATTGAACAACCAAAAAGTTTGAGGTCATTCCGGGTAACTTTTTAATTAAGAAATATTTACATACAAGTGTTGTACTTAAAAACAAGACAAGAGAATTCATATGCTAACTATTTGTTCTGTTGAACAGGGCTATAAAACTACATAGAGAAGATAAGTGATAACATCAGTAAAAAGCTAAAGTGCAAACTCTGGCAGAAATGATGAATTTAAGAAAGTAAAGAAAAGTGGGAGGGTGCCATAAATCCAGTATTACTATAGTTATCAGTGCCAGTGCCTCGTTAATGTGAACTTTGTTTGAAATCCTAAAGATGTAATATAGGCTTAAAACAAATATTGAATGATTTATCGTATATGACGTATACATATGGTATAACAGATAATTTATCCGAACAAATTAGTGTCAAAAGGTCAAAAACTTCAAGAACAAAAACTCACGTGGATCCACCCAAGGGGGAAGAGAGAACGCTTATCCTGAACTTCAAATATTTCCTCTTCATTTGTAGCTTGACACTGCTCAAGAAGTACAATGAATGTAACATTCTTAGAATAAATAATCATAATAGATATTACTCAAAAGGTTTATAGTAATGAGTTCTTACAGAACTTGATGTTGACTCCTGCTTTGGGATTATCAGAGCCGTAATATAAAATTTTCTGTTTTTCTGCATATCAGGTGTATTTACAAAATAGCAATCAATATCTAACAATTGAAGTGTAAGCTAGGAGAGATATATACAAGGAAAAACCAACCACATTGGTGAAAATTTTACAACCTAATATATAAAAATACCATGTATATAGCAAGTTCACACACAAACACATTTGATGAAGAGAGAATGTCCAAAAATATGTGTAGTTAACGATGTAACAATGAAATTTAACATATGCAGAGATAGTTTTTTCAAATTTGTTTCTGGTTGCAGGGATTTGGGGATACGAGCAATGGGTTAACTTTTTTGTTTCTAACATAGTTAATGCACAATTTCTTTAAAACAAAAAGGAAAATTTATAGTTGATGCATAATTTAATCTTAGGGACCTTGTCTTGGATCAATGGTTAGCTTGATGCTTTAAGACAAAAAAATGTGACCATCACTTACAAGCAAACCCGCAAGGATACCACAAGTCTCTAAATTTTTGTTAGTATTTGACTTGGCAAGCTTCATAAAAGTCTCCATCATAGCAGTTGACTGCAAATAGAAATAATTATCAGGAAAAGAGGGAATTCAGCCACACTTTTGTCAACAGTTTAGATTTTGGAAATAGTAAGTATCATAAAATGAACTGAGCTCACTTCATATAAGTATATATGCAAGGAAACTAAATACTCAAATTGAACTGAGCTATTCCTCTCCAAAAATGAACCTAAAAGAAGAATGCATCAAAGATTGATAATAAAATGTTATTGACTCTCACGATATGTAGTTGCAGAGGAGACTCAGCACGAACAAAACTATCTGTTGACGGAGTCTCTATCTTACATTCTGCCTCATTAACATGAGGTGACACTGCAGGAACTAAATCTTGTACTTCAGCAAGTACAGGTGGAGGAGAAGGCTGTCTGATAACTTCTATTTGAGCAGGGATTTCTGCTGCTTCAAAAGAGATAAGAGAAGGAGCTTCATCAGCATGCTGGGCCTGGCAGTGCTCACTCTGGGTAAGAATTGAATCTAAATCTGATCTATTAGGTACTGAAATGCTAGTATCATTTTTATTCAGAGATCCATCTTCCAAGGATTGCTGAAGGCTGTTTGTTCATATAGACAATCCAACAGGATGGATGTAGTTAATATATAAAAGGAAATAGATAAACCAGCTCAAAGGTGTACAAACCTCAATTTTAAAAATTAACTATAAATCAAATAAACCCCTTTTAAAAAATATATATATATTTGAATAAAGTCCGCCATTACTTAAAAAGGACGAGATGAGATGAACAGCATCACTTTTTATTAAAATAACTGGAAGGCCAACAACATAAAAAAGCACTACAGAAACTTAAAATAGGCCACGACCTTGGAATTTCAACTGGAGACAGATCTACGATGGTTGGATACCTGACCTACATCCAGACAGAAGAGTCAGGATGATCTTTGAACAGAATTGAAAGATACATCTAAATAATAGCATACCCCTTTATCACTTGTAGGTGGTCGCCACTGCCCGTTAAGCCCATTGGGACCTAGAATAGAATGTCTGGAGAGAGTTTCTTCCTTTGGATGTGGGAGAGTTAAAGATCTACAGAAAGCAAGCGTAATCGCAAGGGTTATCAAGTAAAGAAATCCATCTAGCACTATCCACTTTCATATGCAGAAGTCTCACATGACAATCGAAAAGTAACCAAACAGATTAGCAAGACCTTCACATAACTTCATGCCTTAGGAGAAAGCAAGTTTAGGAGAAAGCAAGTGCAATAATTTATGCAACACTGATCACCATAAGGAGGCCAATTATACATGAAGGAAGAGTCCAATACTTACAGCTTTCTCATATTCTCTTCCACAGGCCTTACATAAGAAAACTGCTGGCCCCTTGATCCTCGGTAGACATACTCTCCAGTGGTTGGTCTAACTGCCTGTTCACATATATAATAGCATATGGATACAAAACTTCTTTTCAAGGGGAGGTGGGGAGCACAGAAATAGCAAAGATGCATTCAACCAAAAGAACAGATGTAATTGTAAGGAACAATTATCACTGGCCAGGTTCAACCTTCAATGCAAATTCTCTGGCAAATTTTACCTTTATTTGATCATAACTAGCCAAAGTTTGCTTTTTCACTGGAGAAATATCCATCAAATTATTTGAATGACATTTTTCCCACCCATTGTGCTGGTATGCTTGCCTGCTGTTAAACTCACTGATCTTCTGTTGTACCAGTGGTTTCAAATTCTCCAGTTCATTCACAGAATATAACAATTTCTGTAGCAAGAGGCTGAAAATCAGATTACATCCAAGAACGCGTAACAACATGTTTTCATTTGGAGAAGAGAGTTGAAGATTAACCTTTCTCAATGATTCTTTCTTGCTTTGTGCAGATGTTCTATAATCTCGGTGACGTGGTATTGTCTCAGACACCAAACTAACACCAAAAAAGAGGAAAGACCCTCATTTCATTTGATGACAAAAATAACAAATACAATGAAGTCCACATAATGAAACGTCGGACCATTTTGTATTACCTAGAAAATCTTAAGAGCATGATATATAGATCAACAATATTTTTCTCTGCACGAAAGATAGCAGCCTGCAATATCAAAATCAATATTTGGAGCTGAGGTCATGCAAGCAAATAAGGAGAAATTTATTTGAAAAAGAAGGAAAAATTACCACATTAATGCTTTAGATAGGTTATTTTACCTACCATTTTTTCTGCCTACCACTCTCCAACACCATTAGATCAGGATCTCAACTACCTTTATCATTTCTCTCTCCTATTGAAATCCTTATTTAATGGTGTTGGAGAGTGGTAAGCAAAGGTAAGCAGAAAAAATAGTAGGTAGAATAATCTATCCCTTCATACATACATATTTCTCTCTCTCTCTCTCTCTCTATATATATATATATATATATATATATATATAAAGCGGGACAATAAATTCAGGAGAAGAGAATAAAGTATGAAATGTGAGTACAAGCAACTAGCATTAGGAGAACAAAATATGCTGAGTTAAAGACTGAATTATTACTTATATGGTGCTGCAAAATATAACATGATTGTAAGGAAAAACCAAACATGATAGCATGAATATTACAAAGTGAAATCCAAGCATGCAATTTTTCATATCATACACACATACACATTTAAGCGCCTAAAATATAATATGATGCTTTTATGTTTAACCGATGTGAAGATTGACGAATATAGCCTAACATTCATACAAATTCTAATGTAACAGTTGGTTTGATGATATACTATATATTTATTCTACAATAAGGTGTTAATTAAATGGCGCAAATTGCAAAATTCGTGTGTGCTCACAGGCAATAAAGGGGAAAAACCTGTTTGAGAATATTATCGGCGATCCTGTAGTAGAAGCGGAGAGCAATTCGATTATCAACATCAAGTTTCTGAGTACTCGCAGCGATGTTGATCGTTTCCGAAGAACACCTCATTTTTTTTTCTTTTCTCGGAATATGAATATGCTGATGCAGATGCAGATGCAGATGCAGATGCTATGCGTTCCACTATCAAGTTCAACACCACAACACCGCTCCACTGTAGACTCTAGTTTAGGTTCTCTGATTCGTCGTCAATGGCGGCGTCGGCACACAGATCAGATCAGAGGATGCCGTGTCATTTTGATTTCTCGAGAGGGCAAATATGGCAACGCAGGGTTTGGTGAACTTGGTTACATTACATCAGCCGCCCTCGAAAATAAAATTGCTATAGAAGATGCTTTGCTTTTCATTTCTCATGTAAATTATCATATAGTTTATAATATATTTAACGAACTAAACAATTTTTAACATAGGATAATTGATATATAATTAATAATGATGCGTTAATCCATCACATAGTAGGTAATAAGTACATGACATTAATTTTAACTAGAGTTTATATTACTAGGATTTAAACTTGAAACTTTTAAATAAAAAAAAAAAAGTTGATTTTGCCAAATATAGCAAATTGGTCTTTAACCCTTACCGTGTGCCATCTCTCGAAAAAAAAAAAAACAAGGATAAAGCAGCACTTGTTTTAAAGCTTTAATTCTGAATTTATTCTAAACACGATTGCCTGAAAAATATATAAAATTTATAAAAAAAAAAAAAAAAAAATAGCTCTTGGTGGCTTTCTCCAAGCATAATAGAGAAGACTGTTGGAATATATATATATATATATATATATATATATATATATATATATATATATAAATTGTGTAGACACTATATTGGTTATGAATAAGAAGTTTGGTAATGAAAGGATGTGTCTTTTCGTCGACAAACAGATGTATCTTTTCATTCTAAAGGATGTGTTGTTTCATCCGAACGGATGTGTTGTTTCATCCGAACGGATGTGTTGTTTCATCCGAACAGATGTGTTGTTTCATCCAAACAGATGTGTTGTTTCATCCTAACGGACATGTTGTTTCATCCTTGAATGGGTGCCTTTTCGTGTTGAACGAATGTGTCTTTTCGTGTCCAACGTATGTGTTGTTTCGTCGTCGAATAGGTGCCTTTTTAAACGTGACCGGTTCATAAAATGGATCCAGTTTTCTGCACTTAAACTCTGCCGGAATTTTTCTCCTTCCGGTTTTGCATACTGTTGTTCATCCTCCGGTGTGATTTCCTCTGGCAATTGTTGTGTTCGTTTGGGCTGTTGATTGGTGTGCCACCATTCTTCAGACGTAATCCGTTCTATCCTGAGAGACAAGTGTCCATCAACCTTAGGCATCAGTGAGGGGGCAAATTGTCTTAAGGAGACACGTTCTGTGGGCTCAGATTTAATTCCTCTACTTCTGACATATCATTCTATTTGTTCTATCATTTTGCTTGCATCATCATCTGATTTCAAGTAAGTCAGTTCTTTAATTTTAATATTTATAATTGCACAATGATAATTCTGATCATCTACATCCTCTAATTCTATACATGGGTTCAATCTTTTAGTGATATAATATCATCCACTGTCTTCTATAACAAAGACTAACCTGTTGACTGATCCTAGGGCTAAATTTCCGAAAGTCCTAATTCTTTTACTTATTAATTGAGATGATTAAAAAAATTCATTTTCAGCTTAATCACTACTACTGCCGCACTTCATTCAGGGGGGTACAAGATTTTTTTTTATTAAAGGCCTGGAATTTGATAGATATATACATGCGAGTCCCATTCCCATTGGGCAGGGGGTACAACCGTACAAGATTTTTTTTTATTTAGAGCAAAGTATTTGGATCTCAACAAAAATTATGGGATTCATTTTAATTTTTTAAGAGAAAAAATTGACTTGTAGTATTTTTAAAATTTAAAATACATTCAGTTAGTCAAAATTGTAGTTCATCTAAAATTTAAAGAAGATTCACATTTATCTTAATCCTCACTATAAGTCAATTTTACTTTTGAAGAATTAAAATGAATTTAATGATATTTATAGAGGACCAAAAGGACCCAAAAAGCAATTTAGTCTTTTATTTATTTCTTTCTGAAAAGTCGACAATCTTTAAATTATTTGCCGGTAGGCTATTGATTGATCAACTTTTGATTGCTTTCTGCAGGGGTTGTTAACATTTTTGTTGTTAGACCTAAATTTAATGGCATTCAAATAACTCTTTCTTCGGCCTCATATGCCTTATCTTTTATAAAGCAAATCACATTCACTATTTTAATAAATATTAAATATTAAATTTAAAAAATTATGACCATACAAAAATAAAAATAAATATAATTGTTTAATCAACATAATCGATCTAACGATAATTAATTGATAATAACTTGATAGTAACATAACTTAATTGTTACAATATCTTTCCGTAATTTTTTTTATTTTTTTTTATTCATTAGTTCATCGAGCCGATCACTTTCAGTATTGTAAGTATTTAACTTTACACCTACTCTTAGCACTCACGTTTCAATATGAGAATTATAAAAGCGTACTAGAATTTTTGCAAATACCGTCACCTCTTTTCTAATCAATGAGCTTCCATAATTAACAAATTTGTATCCAAACAACAATATATATATGGGTTCTATTTTTCTCATGTCGTAGGAGATAAGTATCTCCTACTATAGATACATAATATGGTGGAGCCCACCATCCATTAAAAAAAAAGAAAAAGAAAAAAATGATATCACAACTTTTTATGTGAGAGAAACATGAAATAGTTATCTCAGATAAAATGAGACAATGATTTCCATATATATATACAGCCTCAGAATATCCGCTTGTCATTTACAGGGAGGGAGATCTCTGAACTTGTGACCTGAACTAGATTCTCTTTATATTTGTACGTCAAGCAACGAGAGGTTTAAAGTTAAAAAATTATATTTGTACATAAAAGAGGTTATATTATTCTTTAAATGAAAGTCATATTATTTTTATAGTATTTTTTCATAATATAATATAAAATTACAAATTTCAATACACAATATTTGTAGATTTATTTTCTAAAAAAAAAAAAGTGTGAAGTTAATGCATTGATGTCAGTGCGCCAATGAAAACTCCTCAAACTTAACCTCGTTAATAAAACTTCGCATTTCGAGAGACAGAAACAGAAGTCACGTGTTAATGTATTTTTCTCATTTTGTAATTTTTTTTATTAAAATACTATCAAGATTCAAAATTTATTAGCAAAAGATAAAAGATAAAAAAGAAAGACTTAGAAGACTTAGAATGAAAGAAAGAAAGTGTTTTGTTGTTGACATTGTTGTCTTTGCTGTCTCTAAAAACCTCAGCAATCTTTCAGTTTTACATATTTCAAAATTCTGATCCCTCTTCAACCTCATTCAGGTAACACCTCCTATCAGGAATAAGACAAACCAATCATCTCTTTCATCCCTTCACACAAGTCATAAGGATCATCTTTCATTCTTGCATTTATTTTTTAAGCTTAGATGAAACCAAATTGGGAACTCAACAACTGCTGCAACCATGAGCAGGTGGTGTTTCTGGTCACTGTTGGTGTCTGCTCTGTGGTTATACTTGCCGTATGTCTCTCTATGCTTCCCCACTCTTTTTTTTATTTTTTTATTTTTTTTATTTTTTATTTTTTGCATTGGATCCATGAAAGAATCCCAGCTTCTCATAAGAGCCAAGATGGGAACTTTACTTCATCTGGGTAAGATTTTTTTATGACATTGTGCTATGTAGATAAAATTGCAATGCCATTTTGCAAATGGGTTTGGTTGTGGGTATATACTGCTGTTACCGTCCAAGTTTTTTTCTTAAATTGCTTCAGTTAAGCATAAACTCGTTTATGGACAAAAACTCCTTAATTCTGCAAATTCATTACTATTGCAATTCTTGAATCTGAATGGTTACGTGCATTTATTAATTTAAGTTCACTTGAATTTCAGCCATCTAGAGAACCGATTTTGTACTCATATCAGAACTCTGCATGTGTTAGTATTATTGTAAATGTAGACTATGCTACCGATGATTTCCTTGTTAATCTTTTTTGGTAATTCCTTCTTTCCTTGCAGCTGTGGAGAACAGTGTTACTCAGACCCTTTAAGCTTGTTACAGTTTTTCTTCACGAGGCAAGCCATGCAATTGCTTGTAAACTTACATGCGGTCATGTAAGAAGCCGTTTTCTTCCCTTACATCCTTCTATCTCAGAGCTAAATATTTGTACTGTTGATAAAGTTTTGAAAGGGTACATAATTTCTTGTTTTAGTTCATAATTACATTACCAGATTATGATTATATATTTTGATAATTCTGTCACAAACATCTCTCTTTTGTTTTGATTTAATTTTTCTTCGCCAACAAGTCAATGGTATTCTTTGATTACTTCCTCAGCTAAGTCAACCCCATACATTGAAGCTAAGTTAGTTAGAGCATTCAGTTGAGTGAGACTGAGGATACAGCAATCAGTTTGTTTGGTCATTTAATAAGATTGGAACAAATTGTATTTTAATTATTTTATGAGGCTGAATTGAAGGCCCTAAGCTGATGTAAGTTTGTACTCTATTTAGCCATGGCCCTCATACTAGTTTAATTGCAGGTAGAAGGAATCCAGGTTCATGCAGATGAAGGTGGAACAACCCAAACACGTGGAGGCATATACTGGTTAATCTTGCCAGCTGGATGTATTGTGATTTGTCTACTATTATTGCTTTTCAATTTTACATTTCTTACCTTGTCATCTTAATGCATATGTAGCTCAAATGCAATAGGTGGACATGCAGGAGCAATCAAAATGGTCAATTGTATTCTCATAAATGCGATATTTTCTGTTCCTAGTGCCTATCACCTAACCAGCAGCCAACTTATACATACTGCTTACAATCTTTTCATGGAATACTATCATAATTGCTATTATGTCCTATAAATGTTTGGATTTATTTGGTCTTATTTATTCTACCCTTGTGGTGACAATCCAGATCTTGGATCATCTTTCTGGGGCATGATCTTGATACTTGCATCAACAAATCTTCTTACAGCTAGAATAGCTGCTGGTTGTTTTATTGCTGCTCTATTTATTGTCCTCTTTGTAGCAAAAAATGTAAGTGATGATCAGTGCAATTTATTTTATCAGTGAGCCTTCTCATTTGATACTACAGTGTCTATTAAGAATATGAAACTTTAGAAACAGATTGAACAGGTTCAAGCATCTATATTACTAGGAACATTAAAACATTTTGATAATATCAATTATCATCTTTATCATTGTTAAAAATCAGTAATAACTTACATGCCTCCTACCCTGCATCTGTGTGGAAAATTTGTGCATTTTCTGAGACTGAACCTGTATTGTTGATCTTCATACAGTGGACTCTTCGAGGACTTTGTATTGGTATGTGCTTTTATACTCAAGTTTTCTAGGATTTGCACATAATGCATCATGTTTCTCAACATATTATATATTTGTATGTTGAGGTCTCAGGATTTATCATCTTCCTTGGTGTAATATGGATTTTGCAAGAGACAACCAAATTTCGAATACTACGGTACATTATCTTGTTCATAGGTAAATACTTTAATGTATTGCTGTAAACTTCAAACACCCCCACCTCTGGCCTTGACGCTATAGCCTAGATGGTGCAAGGGGCTTATCTTCATAACCCTTGTTTACAGTTTATGTACTTGGACAATTTTCATAAAAATATAACCTTAATTTCCTTTTCTTTTTTTAATCAAAATGCAGGTGTAATGAATAGCTTGTTTTCAGTATATGGTATGTCTTTGGAAGTACGGAATGAAATTGATTTGGTGTTACATGTACCTTGTATGAAATAGTAAAATCCCTGTAACAATGATATTACAGATATTTATGATGATCTGATCTCCCGTAGAGTACATTCCAGTGATGCAGAAAAATTTGCGGAAGTGTGCCCTTGTCCTTGCACCGGTGTTGGATGGGGTGTTATTTGGTGAGGATATCTTAATATGAAGAGTTTACTTCGTTGTTTCAACAAAAGGACTTTGTTTTTTTGTTTGTTTTCTTTTTCTTTATTGAGCTGACAAGAAAAGGTAACCTGAAATCACATTTACATTGCATTGCTTTATTAGACTAATTCCTAAGTCTACTTGCAGGGGTTTAATATCTTTTGTCTTTCTTTGTGGAGCTGTGTATCTGGGTGCTGTGATCTTGTCATGAGGTAGTTTTTGATTCTTCATTTTTTTTTTACCTATATTGTTAGGTAACAAATGGCAACCATTCCATCTTAATTTGTTTTGATGTATTGGTGCAGGAAAGGAGATTGTTCTATAGCCAGTGAGAAGCAATTCAATTCAATTCAGTATGGCTTTACTAGCAGACTAATTCTGAAGATTGTCATCTCATTTATAAGGAGGCAGAGTCTCAAGTCAAGGTCCTTTGGCTCCATTCTTCATCCTATTCAGGGTGGCCATGCCTATAAGGCTATAATCAAATCATCCAGATGTAAATTAATAAAAAAAAAAAAGCAAGGAACACTAGTAGATGTCATGTGTTTCTTTTATGGGTTTAACTACTCTTCTGTTAGATAATTGTCTTCTGCCATACATACATAGATAAATGTGCAATCTTTTTTTTGTTTTATTTTTAAAAAAATAATGGGACCCATAGCCGAGTTTGTTATTGTAGGAAATTCAACTTTTCAAAAGCAAAATGAGAAAAGTAAATTCCTTTTATACATTGAAAAACAAATTAAATAAGCTTTACGTTGTTATTCGTAACATTTTGCTTATTAACCGTGATTCATTTAGTTTAAAGTATCCCTCGTATTATAGGCAAAACTACAATATGACTCTTCATACAAATTTTAAGATTTTTCACCCTTTTGCCCCTTATTAATTAATTAATAACCATTTTGTCCCTGATTCGAAACTATTTATCAATCTGCTCCTCTTTAGTCGACTACCTTGCATTTTTAATCGACTAAATGGCCAAAACAGACAAAAAATGGCTGCTGGGAGATTTAGTCGACTAAATCTTCCTATTTAGTCGACTAAATCTTCATATTTGACAAAAAAATAAAATAAGTCAGTATGATTTTAATCGATTAAGTAGGGAGATTTAGTCGATTAAATCTCCCAACAACCGTTTAGTCGATTAAAAATGCAAGGTAGTCGATTAAAGAAGGGCAGATTGGTAGATAGTTTCGAATCAGGGACAAAATGATTATTAATTAATAAGGGACAAAAGGGTGAAAAAGCCCAAATTTTAATGCACAAAGATTATTTTAGTTTATGTATACAAAAAATACCCCAAAAAACAAAAGTAATAGCTCCTCTTAGGTCAAATTGTTCGATCTAATTCAATTTGAAATGATATCATGACGAAAAGGAATGTGATTCTTCATTTTAATTTGAACAAGTGTTTGCACCCCAGGGATGCATGCATAAACTAAGAATTGAACGATAAAAATACTTGACAAAACAAAAAACGCATTATATGCAATATAATTAACTAAAAGTAATTTAATTAAATGAATCATATCATTAGAATTATCTGAAATTAGTAATTATTAAGAGTTTCATGCTTGATCAGTCAAAGACTACGTCTAGACATTGCATATTTATTATTGTAAAGAAATGCAATGAAAAGTTTGACCTACATGTTCAAGCTTCTACAATACACATGTTCTAGCTTCACCTAAAATCCAAGCTTATACTCAACAGTTAAGCGTGTGATTACGAATTGAGTTCATCAGAGAATAACGCATGCTCTGATCAAAATACACTTATTATATCGCAAATTTTCAGGTGCTACATTCAAACTCAAAGCCATAATAAGTGCGAGATCGGCGAAAAAATTGGCAATTCAAACTATTAAAGTTATTTTCACCCCAAAATAAAACAATTCAAACACCTTCACCAGAAAAAAAAAAAAAAAAAAAAAACAATTCAAAAACATGTTGATTGATTTTACAAGCCCCAAAACTAATCGAGATGCTTATTGGTCTTTCATTTTAATTATCAAGCACGGCGTTAGATCAAACAACAATGTAGTTTTCTTCTAATAAACTGCAAGCAATAGATTTACTTCACGAATAAAAGAATTGGATAAAATTTGCGAATAAAATAAACTTCAATTTATAAGAAAAATAAACTCAACTCCTACATTGAGGAAACCAGACCTTAGTACTTCCAAAATCAGACATTGAATTCCAGCATGAAAGCCAATTAGTCAGACAAAATTTTAAGCAGCATACACCTTATGCAGTTCTTGGAAAAAATTCAAAGCTGACAAAAGAAATTAAACTAGGCCTCGGTGTTAGGATACTCAAACACAACATCTTTGCCCGACAGCTTCCTGTACACTGCGGCAAAAGTCTCCAACTTGTACTCAGTGTTGTTTCGCTCCTTTGGGTCCAAGAAAACCTATCCAGCGAACAACAAAGATACAATTTAAGCAGAAATGAATGAAAACTAGTACATAAGTAAATGAGATGGCAAACTTGCATAGCTAAATGACAAAAAATTCAACGGCACGTGTTTAACCATAGGTATTCATATTTCAGTATTTACATGTACGTTTGTTAGCATGGCTAGCATGCTAACAAACATTTTATAGAAACATTTAATGGTTGATTGACTACAAGAAGTAACTTCAAATGTTAATTGTGGAAATAATCACTTTACCTTCATAATCTTGGATCCATCAATTCGATACCTCACACGCTTCCCAACAATTTCAGCAGGCAATACAACATCCTCCAACATTGCTTCATGAACAGCAGTAAGGGTGCGGGTACGGGGACGCTGGACAGCAGACCCTTTCTTTGGTGGCCTCAATATCCTCCGAGTGGCAATCAAAATTACATCCTACAAGTTTTAGAAGATTCAAACTGTTCAATCAAAAAATAAAGTTACTCAAAAAATAAGACTAGAAAACATTAGAAAGCCCAACAAGCATTCAACATGAAGAGCGGAGGAAACATAAGACAACTATCATGCAAACACACAAATAAATTGCATTCAAAACTCTCAAGGATGTTTTTGAAAAGACATTAAACTCATAAAAAAGCCAAGCAATCTCATATTAAATCTCTACAACTTACCATTTCATTAGTAAGAGGTTACAACAAAACACTAGGTAGTAGAAAGTGTTGACACGGACATAACAGAAGATTTCTTAAGTTATGGACAATGGCCCCCAGGTAATATTTACATAAGATATGTAAAGCAAGGATCATTAACAGAGTCTAAATGTATTCAAACTACCAAATACATGAGAGAACGTTAATACTAAATGTCATAGATAACAAAAGTAACTGCCAATACATCTTCAATATGGATAAAAAAAAGTATACTACAACTTAATTACCTTCCCACTAAACTTCTTCTCAAGCTCCCTGACAAGCCTAACATGAATCTTCCGGAAACCTTTCCTTAATCTGTAGGGGACATGGATAACAACAGCCTTGCGGTTCCCAGAAACATCAATTTGTCTGCAGATAAGTAAAAATGTCAGTTATAAGACAGACAGAAAACTAATGCACCTTCCCACACACACATTCTTACACTGCTGAATTTATGTATAGATCCTTCAGATCACTTTTAAGCTCCTGGTTAGTATTTTCCAGATCAAACAATGCCTGCAACAATCAAAGCCAAAAAAAAAATTATACATTTGGGATAAAATATTATACGGATCTGCAGCCACAGCTATACTTAATAATGGTTCAAATTAAACCTGCCCAACTGACTCTTCAAACTCAGTTGGTTCAGCATCCTTATCTTTGTGGATCTTCTTCCTTGATGTGTACATCTTCACAACTGCAGACAAAGAGCAGAACTTGTGAGTGCCCTGAACAAATTTAAGGATTCCCCACTACGAGATAACCTTAAAAAGTGCCATATGTCTTCGAGTCTTATCCAGAGAATATAAATCAAAATAGAGAAACAAAAAAGGGGTAAACCTCAAATCGAACAGTAGATAAAAACATATCAACATCTTCAAGGACGCATATAGCATAAAATTCCTATAACCCCATTCAAGATTAGCACATTCTATTACATACCCAGAAAAATTAGAAATAAAAAGACAAACTTTTCTTCAGTTTCAAATCATTCCCGTTATTGATTTGCAGAACGCGTGAAGATAAATGAGTATCGAGTGCACACCTCACCAGAAGGAGAGATCTGCAGCCAGGAGTAAGAGCGAGAGTCAAGCTGATTTATCAGACTGAAAACCCTAGGCTTTGAGATGAAACTTTTCTTATAATGGTATATCAACGACTGAGATTGATATACCCTACAAGTGGACGGTTCATATTGCACATCTTAATTCTCTGTTTTTTATTATATCTTTTGGGCCATAATCAATTACCTCATATTTATTGGGCTCAGTAATGCTGATGCTGGGAAATTCTTAAAAAAAAAAAAAGGAACACTGAAACTGGATCTATTAACGGGCTTTAGATTATGGACTATTTAATAAAACTCAATTTTAGGCAGATTATGGACTATTTAGGACATGTTAGATTTTTATTTTTAAAAATAGTTTTTTGAGTTTTAAAAAAAAAATTGAAAAGAGTTGTTTTGAAAAATATTCTCAAAACAATAATTATTCTTTAGTCTTAAAAATTAAAAATACAGAACAACCTAGGATGTTCTCAAAAGTTAGTTCTCTTATTTTTGCTGTGACAGTTTTATAAATATATGGATTTATTAATAGTATTTTAGTAAATAAATTTAATTTATTTTTAATTTTAAATTAATTTACTGTAACAATCATGTAATTATGAAAATTCATTAATTTAATTTATAACTTTAAATCTAATAATATTTAAATAAGGTTTATGCTTATTTTAATCTCAAAATCAGTTTTCAAAATTTATATTTAAAATAGTTTTTGAAAACAAAAAAGTAAAAACATATTCTAGACCCTTAGATTTTTTTACTGTTTTGTATTTATTTATTCAATGATATAATTAAATTTTTAAATATTAATTTTTAGATAAAACAATTATATTAATTTAGATCTAAATATTTGTAAATTATTATTATTTAAAATAAATATTTATTTGAAAAAATTTAAAAATTTAAAATTATAATAATTTCGAGCTTACAAACTAACATTATCCAGAACAGAGTTATATCGTTTTATTATACTCACTCATGAATTCGATTAAAAGAGTAACACAGAACGATCATAGTTTTATGAATCAAATTATAAAAGGGTTATTACAGACTTACAAATAGCGATGGAAAATGGTATATGCTTGCGTGAAAAAGTTCAAATTCCGCCCTTATTAATATTTTTTTAAAACGTTGACAGATCCTCACTAAATAATAAAAAGTGAAGAGTTATGATGATTAATAAAAGCGAAAGTGTGTATCATTTTGAAGGATATAAAATTGTGTTATCTTAAGTGACAGAAATAGATAAATCATGAGAAAGAAAATGGGTGAAAAAAGTTTTAAAAGTGTGGTCTCACCTCTTTGTGAGAGTGAAAAAATATAAAATGTGTCATTTTACATTTTTTCCTTAATAAATATTTTAACTCAGACATAAGTACATTAAGTTATGGGAAAAGTGCAAGTATCATTACTTTGAATTGTAATTTTTTTTATCATTACATTTTTACAGGTTTCTCCGTCCATTTTGCACCTTTTTACTTTCTTTTTTCTTCCCTAATAAATCCTCATTCGATCACGGACCTTCTTCATTTCATTATCATAATGGTCGCAATGTGATTTCTACTTCTAGTACAAGTAATCTTCGCACCAAAGTTTCTAAAAGTGGTTAATTCCAAGTATTTTTGAAATTTTTATTGGCACTTGATTTCCAACTCGGGTGTTATGAATTTGTGAATATTGATTCGACTCTTCAGCTTACTAATTCAGTACAAATTAAAAGTACTCATCTGAACAGAGGAATACATAACAACAGAAGAAAGATGTATAGAAACAATTACTGTCTATACTAATTAATTTGGTAGCTAATCAACAATTGATTATCCATAAACAAATATCATACAAAGATAGTGTTTGGGTTATTCCAAAAACAAACCCTAAAATCTTATTTTTGTAAGTTACTAAATTTCCACAATTCATCCATGCTCCACATGCTACATGCAAAATCATTGTTTACCAAATTGCTTTCTGCCATTTGGCAATCACCAACTGGGTATTGCACATCCTCAGCTACCCTTGCAGATTCCATTTCAAAGGTGTCCATCTCATAACCACTGTTATTTACATGGTAGCCATCATATGTGAAGGTGCCAAAGTCATTGTTATCTAATGCATGAAATTGAGTGGTGGTGTATCCCATATGCTGAGGAACTTTTGGGATATTTGCTGACTCAGAAAAGGAGATGCATGAACCATTGGTGTGCTCAGAGTCTGAGTTATGCTCATGTTGATCCAAATAATTGGGAACTGCTTCATTCATACAAGGTCCCTGCCAAGGGATTTGTGTTGGTATTGTCCCCACAGTTGAATAATGAGAAACACTATCAAGAGGCAATGGAATTGCCTGGCCTTGGATTGACATGGCTGAAGAAGATGATTCTTTTGCTTTCTGAAGCAACCTTGGCATCCAGAAACGCCTAACTAGTTCTTGAAATTCTGTGCTATCTGTGTCAATTTTCAAATGTCTTGCTTGTTTCTGAATCCGAGTTCTCCAATAGTTCTTGATTTCATTGTCTGTCCGGCCTGGCAAAAGTTGTGCAATTTTTGACCACCTACAATCAGAAAAGAGAAATAAAAATCCAGAGGAAGGATAATATTTTGGAACTGACAAACATGTTGATAGTAGTTCTTTGCTTCTCCTAGCATTCAGTGGAGCTCAAGAATCAAATGTATGGGATAAGCACCTGTTTCCCCACTTTAAGTGGAGTTCAAGAATTAGAAGCTGCTCTTCTAGGGTTAAATTTCCTCGCTTTACATCAGGATTCAAATAATTTAGCCACCTTAATCTGCAACTTTTTCCTGTTCTCTTCAATCCTGAATCAGAAAAGAGAAAGGAAACTAATCAGAATTAGCATAAAAAATTGAGTAAAAATGGTACACATAACACAATCCTGTATTAGCAACCAGGTAGTCTTATATATTTTTTTTGGCTTGTTCTTAGGTTACCTGAACGTTTAGCCAGAAAATTCCATCGCCCTTCCCCATGATTAGCAATATATTGGGTAAGCAAATTATCCTCTTCGAGAGTCCAAGGACCTCTTCTGAGTTCAGAATCTTCTTCACTAGAATTGTTGATGCTCTTTGGAGTAGGCATTGCCATTCTCAGTGACCAAAACTCATAACACTATGCATATATATGAAGTAACTTAAAACATAGTAAAGAAAGAAGCTAGTGTTATGAAGCAAATTGGAATACGCAAGATACATGGTAGACTATAATGTATCCCATTTTGGGGGGCGAGTAGAGGTCAAAGTGAACATGTGCACTTTATTACTTTTCTAAAAGATATATGCTACAGCTGCTATAAATTCCATATGACAGCTTCCATTCACCTTCCATAGTCATTGCCATAGGAAACATCGAAGATGGATAGGTTCATTGCTTGGTATCTTACCTTTATTTCTTGAAAAAATGACAGTTTATTAGTTTGTAGTCATTAGTGAGTCACACTAGGGCACAAAAATAGGAAATAAAAGTTACAAGATTAGGTTGTTCTGAGTCAAAGAACAGACTCAAATGAACTGTATTCCATATTGTTCACTCAATGTCCCATACAGGAGGCATCAAGAATGGTATAGAAAATGAAAGAGCTATGTGTTAGTTACCCATCCAATCAATGTGGGACTAATATATCTCAACACTATGTCATATTCTTTTCTGTTATTCTAATTGACAGAGTAGGGCGGTGATGCTGCAGTAATTTCAACATTTACGCACAATGTTTGAAAAGAAACTAAGTTCTGAAAGAACGTTTGAAAAGTCAAATTCTTTAGTGACTTGGTTAATGTTGTGAGGAGGCCAAACGTGATTGGAACATCACATGCTTATTCAAAACTGATTCTTTTAAAAATCGATATTCTCAATATGCCAAACATTTGGATGCAACACTTATCTTTTAAGCCACTGTGATGGGATTAAGGCATTGAAAAATAGAGGAAGAGTCATTGTTTAAAGGTCATAAACAGTGACAGAAACGTGCTTGACTGAAAATATCAAATTTATTTATAAACTTAAGCAAAACGTGCAGTTATTGGTGTTGGCATAACAAGGGGCGGCATGGAAAGCCTGATAAGAATCTTAGAAAAGGACCACCTTTTGTTTTGATTGGTTCTTAGTTGTTGATGTCGGCTTTCTACGTGGTTCCCCTTTGTCCAATAATTTCCATTCGTATTCTGGACAAAAGAAGAAGAATGGACTAGAAAAGTCTGCTACGATTTTCATAACTTTCTGCATTTTATGTTATTAATTATTGAGCTAGGACAAGCATAGAGAGCGCTATAAACGGTGGGGTGGTTGCATTTTCTCAATTAGGTGGCTAATTATAATTAAGAGCAATGGACTGAGGAGAGCTTACACAGAAAACTTGGTCAAAGAAACTGTAGGAAAGTTTATCTTAAATTGGCTCACTCTGTTCAGTTCAAATTCAATGGTATATCTTTGTCAATGATGCATTCTTTTATATTTGGGAAGTGACCAAATCTTTTCTGCAAACATGTGCTGAATTTTGTCCAAATTTGTTTGATTACATTTACTTTAAGGGGAAGGATATTGTAACAATCAAATTGTATTATTACCATATCAATCTCATCGTTAGATCGATTATGTTGATCTAACGGTTATATTTATTTCCATCTTTGTATGGTTATGATTCCCTATATTTAAAGTGAAAGCATTAAATATGAGAAATCATAACCATACAAAGGTAGAAATAATTATAAAATATTAAATTTAGAAAATCAAGACCATATAAATATGAAAATAAATATAACCGTTGGATCAACAAAATCAATCTAACTGTGAGATTAATTGGTAGTAACTTGATAATAACACAACTTAGTTGTTACAATATACTTCCTTTTATTTAATCATTTACTACCGTTAAAAGTTATAACAAACGTCATAGTAATAGTAAGATAGTGGGATGTTGGTCCAAAGTCAAAATTAAAACCATCAAACTTTTATCCTACCCAATATTTGCAACTTTCAATTGAAAAACCAAACACATTTAGACTAGGATAAAAATGTGGTGCTTGAATTCGTACATTCCAATAAAAGTTAGGTTTTAACTATGGGTGCATATTTTCTTATGTTGTAGGATAGTAGGAGAGAAAAAAAGTAGAGATAAGTTAAATGTGGGTCCCACATTTTAAATTAAAAAAGAAAAGAAAAATTAATTGACACGGAAAATGAATTTGTGTAGGAAAAAGTTTTTATCTTATGTAGATAGAGATAATGATTTCCCTTTAACTATATCCTATAGTCTTTTAGAAAATGATATACAATTAATTTAATAAGTTTATCGTCATTAGAATGCTACGTATCCCCAATAGAATGATACTCGTTCTTGTAAATTTTATATAGCCCAGTATCAATGTAATTGTAATTGTAATAGAGGGGTTTGTTTCCTAGAAAGAATCTTTGGGTTAAAGTTTGAATAATTATTATACAGCTCGATTTGGGTTTAATCTTATATCTATATGAATTTCTTCTTTTCCTCATGTCCTAAAAGCAAAAATATAGTTAGGGTTAGAGAATAAAAAAAAAAAATAGATTAAATATTTGAATCCTTGGAATTGGAAACCACATAGTTCAAATGTCAGTTATCAAAAAGAGCAAATCTACAACATTTTCATTTTGAGAAGTTTTATAATCTTGGTGATGTTAATGTTTTCAATTAGATATTTCATGGTTATAGACATAGAAAAAGAGGTAACAGATAAGACAGGTTGAGTGACAAAGTTGTACAAGTACTCAATATTAATGCATGGGATGAAGGGTGGGAGAAGAAAATTGACCCTTGATATCAAATAGGGCCCAACCTATCACCACCAAAATAATAGCAGCAATTATATTTTAGGCTTCAGAAATTCAATTAAGAGGTCAACTGGTGTCATTCACACTGATGTATGTGTTAGTCTTAACGTTAATTATATTAAAAATATTCGAGTACGAGGAGTATTAAAGATTCATGATAAGTGTCTAAGACACTATGTTTTTATATGGCTAAAAAGAGTTTAAATAATTATTAAAATAGTTAAAAATATAGGGCTTTTTCACTCTTTTGCTCCTTATTAATTAATTAATAACCATTTTGCCCCTGATTCGAAACTATCTACCAATCTGCCCCTCTTTAATCGACTACCTTGCATTTTTAATCGACTAAACGGTTGTTGGGAGATTTAATCGACTAAATCTCTCTACTTAATCGATTAAAATCATACTGACTTATTTTTTTTTTTGTAAAATATGAAGATTTAGTCGACTAAATAGGGAGATTTAGTCGACTAAATCTCCCAGCAGCCATTTTTTTGTCTGTTTTGGTCATTTAGTCGATTAAAAATGCAATGTAGTCGACTAAAGAGGGGCAGATTGATAAATAGTTTCGAATCAGGGGCAAAATGGTTATTAATTAATTAATAAGGGGTAAAAAGGTGAAAAAGCCAAAAATATAGTATTAAAACAATAAAACAGTAAAACAGAATGAATTGCCAACAAATAAACAAATTCTAAATATTTGTTGTTGTTTCAGGTTGTTGAGATTGGAATACTGGAATAACAAAGTAACAAAATGAGGCAACGAATACGCGGAGCAACGGGGAAATCAGAGATTAAATAATAAATAAAATAAAATTGGTAACGCTCGCTCCATTGCTCGCTAAAGCGAGCAAGTGGGCGAGCAGCTCGCAAAGTTCTTAGCTAAAGCGAGAAAATGGGCGAGTATCTCGAAAAAGTCCTCGCACCAGCGAGTAAGGGAGCGACCAGTAACAAGTGCTCGCTGAGTTTCTCGCTTCAGCGAGCTCCTCAGCGAGCGGATTCAGGAAATTATAGCCAATGTTTTCCCTTTAAATACAACGCGAAGGAAGCCGTAAAAATTCATTCTGGAACGCGAAAAAAGAAGGCACTCAGAGACGAAGTGAAGGAAGGAGCATAAGCGTAGCACTGGATCGTGGCAGAGGAGAAGGAAAGAGTTAACTCTGCACCATTGATCATCACTTTTAGACAAGTTTATCATGAACTCAGTTTCTTTTACAGTAGATTTTAATTCTGTCATTATGAGTATGTCAGGCTAAATTACTTAGGCGTAGTTAGGATTGGTTGATGAAACTCGTACCAATTAATATCAACAAAAAAGAGTGAGTAATTTAAATCCAATCAAATTGTACAAATTGAAATTTTTTATTTTGGATATGATCCATCACTTTATCCCTATTAAGTTTTAACAAGTGCTACATTTCCAAGACTCAATCTGAATACCATTGATTAAGTTAAAACAACCTTTTATTTATTGATTCACTTGCTTGGTGATAAAAATTTTTTATCTTTTTTAATACTCCTAAATCCATCGGTAATCAATATTATATGACTGCTAACGATTTAGTTTATGAAAAATGAAAATTTCACTCTTAAAATTTAAGAAATTACAAATGTTAACAACCTTATTATTAGGCATCTAGTTGTCTGAAACTAGATGCAGGCTAGTTTGTAATTTACAATATAAGAGCCTTGTTTTGGTACATGTTGCATGAAACGGTGATTGGGTGTATGGATGGTTGGATCACAGTGGCTATTGGTTTTTAACCCGTTGTGAAGTTAATGCCACTTGAAGTAGAGCAGAATCATTGTTCTAAATGTTTTTTCATATAGAGCGCGTGCCACTTTCCAGTTTTTATGTATATAGATTAAGGACTAAATGGTAAGTCAAGTTGTAAAGTGATGGCTTGTAGCCAGGTTTTTACAGTTGCTGTGTTAAATCTTGCTCACCGAATTTATTTGTTAGGCTAACTACATAGACTCAACAGCCCCTGCAGATGCTGTTTTTGCAAGTGAAGTCAACAAGCTGAATGCAGATCAATTTAGATATGTATTCAAATATTTGGAATGAATTTTTTTTATCCTTTTGAGTCTACCTGGTTTTTTAAAAGAAACGTAAAATTTTAAACGTTTTTTTTTTAAAAATTTTCAATAAATTTATGGGTGTCTTAAACCTGAATGCTTGAATTTTTGTAGTGGTTATTAGAAAGACTGATATAATTAATATGAATAATTCTCTAACGATTGTGATTGAAATTTTTAATATTATATCTAGTGCCAAA